TTCGTGATTGATTTGGATGGGATTTCTTGATTTTCTGGTCTTTAAATGTTCTATTATCGATTTTTTTTTTTGCTTTTGAAGATAGAAAATTCATCCTCCTGTAGGGAGATTAGGTCGGGTCTTGAATAATTCGCACCTTTTTTTGACTTTTTCTTTGGGTTTTCGAATTTTTTTGTGATTTATTAGATATGGATTTTCAAATTTTTTAACTTCTTATGGTTGGAAAATTGATCTTCACTGGACTTGCACTCGAAAAATGGGTTTTTTTTTTCATTTTTCTTTCAATTTTTTGATTTTCGAATTTTTTGGGCTTCTAACAGTTGAAAAATTGTCCTGCTTGCACGTAAGAAATTTATAACCGAAGTTTATTGATTGATCGGGACTTTTGAAGATTGAAAGTTTAACTTTTTTCGAGAAAATTGTCAGATTAATTGACTTGGAGCTTAAAAAATGGTCTTTTTTTGGCTTTTTTTTGCGTTTTTGCGTTTTTGTGATTCATTAGGATTGGACTTTCTGAGTTTTTTGAGTTTAATATTTGATTTCCAACCTTTTTCTAGTCCAAAAAGTGCTAGTAAGTTTGAAAAAAATGGCTCCAAACCCCAAAGAAAAATTCGAATGAACTTTAATGAAAAATATTTCAAAAGACCATTTCATACCGACCAGCGAATGTTACGTTTCATTTCAAGATTATAAGAAATGAATTTTTTTCTTTTTGGACGCTTGCGTTCCTTGGTTTTTCATCCAATAATCTGAAATATATGAAAAAAAGGTTATTTCATTCATTTTTTTCATTGAATTTTCCTTGGTTTTTTCAGACAGCAATTTTTGAACTCTAAACTTGGTTATTCATGCTTTCATGAGCCTTCGAAAAAGATTTCTACGGAAAATTTTGCAAATATTAACATACAAATTCAAAAAAACGTTATATATTTTTTTCGAATGGCTGTTACTGGGAAGACGTAATTTTCAATAAATTTGAGAATTCCACTTCAAATTTCGTCAAAACATGTCTCAAACGTCAATTTCGCACAAAGAGCTGTCCCTTGGGCCGAAGTTAAAAGGAAAAATCGATGAATTAAAAAAATCTGTTTTCTCAGCCACTTCACTGAAACATAGAGAACGTAAAGTTTTTTTTAGACATTTTTTTGGTAGAAATCAATTTTTTTAAAGATTTTTTTGGCCATCAGTTCGATTTTAATGCTTTTCTAGTCTCGAGGGAGCTTAGAATGAACGAAATTGGCTCAATTTTAACTGAAAAAATCGAAAATTCGCTTGAAATTGTGTCCGAACTGAGCGTTCGACTTGAAAGCCTGGTCAAAACGATTTTTTTTTCGAGATTTTTGACCACCGACCCATCTTCAGCGCATTTGAACGTCTCAGGAAGCTCAAAATGCAATATTTTCTCTGAAAACTCGTAACTTCCGTCAAGAATTGTGTTAAAATTGATCATTGGACCTGAAATCCAGGTCAAAACTACCGTTTTTTTCAAGATTTTTTCACGTCCGCTTCAATTTTTTGCGCTTCTGTACGTCCTGGGATGCCTAAAATGAACTAAATAGGCCCATTTTCCACCGAAAATTCCTAATTAACGCTGGAAATTGTGTCAAAACTGACAATTCGACTTGAAATTCAATTCGAAACGACTGTTTTTTCGAGATTTTTCCTGTCCACTTTAATATTTTAACGCTTTTGAACGTCCTGGGAAGCCCAAAATGAACTAAATAGGCCCAATTTGCCCCGGAAAACTCGTAATTTCCGTTTTGAATTGTGCCAATCCGATTTTTAGCGTTTTTGTACCCCCCAGGAAGGTTGGAATGAACTTACTAGGCCCAACTTTCACCGGAAAACTCGTAATTTTCGCCAAAAACTGTTTAAAATCGATCATTGGACCTAAAAACCGTTTTTTCGAGATTTTTCATGACCGATCCAATTTTTAGCGTTTTTTTACGTCTTAGAAAATTCAAAGCGGACTTTCCAAGTTCGTTTTTCACTGAAAAGTCAAAAATTTTAGCTTCAGCTCTGCAAAAAATGACTTTTCGACCTGAAATTAAGTTCAAAAAAGCCTAAACCCAAATGGCCTAATCGACCGTTTTTTCAAGATTTTTCACGTCAGCTTCCATTTTTTGCGCTTTTGGACCTCCGAGGAAGCCTAAAATGAACTAAATAGGCCCAACTTTCACCGAGAAATTCTTAATTTTCGTTTTGAATTGTGCCAATCCGATTTTAGCGTTTTTGTACGCCCCAGGAAGCTTGGAATGAACTGAATGGCCCAATTTTCACCGAAAAAAGGCCCAATTTTCACCGAAAAACTCGTAAATTCCGCCTAATATTGTGTCAAAACTGACCATTGGACCTGGAACTTCCCTTGAAAGAACACAAACAAAAGCCCCAACCAAACAAAAGGTGTCTGGCGACAGGCCAATGGTACGTTTTTTTATCGATCCGCCTTGAGACGTCCCTCCCCAATGACTCATGCACCACACGCACAACTCTTCAAACACACCATTTTGATATGATTTCCACTGAAATGATAAGGATTTCGAAGTGATATCTTTTGTTTTTGAATTTCCCTCCCTTTCGAGAAGTTTTAAAAATTTTTCTCAGGTCTGTTTTGGGCCTTTTTGAAGGCGCATAGGTGTGCTTTAAAAAATAATCTCGCGCCGAAAAGTTTTTCTTTTTCAGTCGGATCCAAAATTCATCTGCTCTGAAATGACAAGATTTTTGATTTTGATACCTTTTTTTGAGTTTTTTTTTAGGGTTTTTTAGGGTTTTTTTTGGGTTTTTTTCAAGAGTTTCGGTTTAAATCTGATTAAAATCGAAATCTGTGATTTAATGGATTTTTTATGTTTTAAGGTGTCGCTAGGGTTATTAAAGGCGCATGGGCGTGTCCAGGAAGCATTTTCGCGCCGAAACTTTTTTCAATTTTTTTCAAAAATAATTTTTTATGAAAATTGCCTGAGCCTTTAAAGGCGCATACGTGAGAATTGAAAAATAATTTCGCGCCGAAAATTTTTTTTTTCTTCAACGACATTCAGAACTTTGCCTTGATACGACGAGATTTTTAATTTCAATGTTTTTTTTCGAATTTTCTACATATTTGAGAATTTTTGAATATTTTCGGTTACTTCTTTAAATTTTTTCCAAAAATGGGGTTCAAATCATATTTTTTGACGGTCATAGATATTTCCAGGGCGTTTAAAGGCGCATGGGCGTGGTCTGATAATCATTTTGGCGCCAAAACTATTTTTTATTGAGGAATATGCTCTCAAATGTTGTTTTTTTAAAAGTCGCTAGATAGCTTAAAGACGCAGGGGCGTGGTCTAATAATCATTTTTTCGCTTCGAAACTTTTTTCAAATCTTTCCTATGGTCCTTTAATCACATCTAGAAGTGAATTGCTGTGAAATTTTTAGATTTCTCTTTGAAATTAGTTTTTTTTTTGATGTTCAAAGTTCTCTATTGACATGTTTCTGGAAAAACCTTCTTGTTTAAAAAAAAACTTTTATATCTTTGCAATTTGAATTTTTTTCTCAAAGTCGTCGATTTTTTTTTCATTTTTATAGAATATTCGTAGGTTTAGCTGAGAAGAACCAGCTGAAAATTTTTTTTACTATCTAAAAAATGTTTGAAACAGGAATGTGAGCCTCTGTGAGGTTATTTCCCAACAACCAATTATTGAAAAAATCATGTGATTTTGGATCAAATTTGATGTTTCTGTAGTACTGTATTCTTTTGAAATGCTTTTTTTAATGTAAATAATGATTTTTGCTGTTTCATTTTCAACTTTTTTTTTCTTTTTTGACTTGGTGGTTTTTTTGTTGGTGTTGCTCATCTTAGCTCATGACATGCGCGCAAAAAATTCATTTACTCTTTCAATTTCAATTTTTTTCAGGTCTAACCTCTTTTCATCCTCCTCCAGCTCCTCATTTTCAAGTAGAATTTGAAAAAAACAATTAATGCGGTTAAAAAAATCGACTAACCCTGGCCAAATGCGAGCGGCGACGATATTAATCTACATTTTGGCCCAAACGGCCCGCGGGCAAATCAGGGCAGCCCAGGGGCCGCCCCGGGACAAGTTCCTCTGGATCCGGGCCTCATTCCGCCCCTGGAACCGATCAAAAATATCCTTCAAGGGGCCTACTCGAACAATGTCACGCTTTTCTACAGGAATTCCCCGTATCGGGTCGGTTTTTCAAATGATTTTTTGTGATTTCATTATTGTTAATATTATATTTGAGAAAATTCATTTTTTTAGTTTATTTTTTTTAGTTCTTTCAGCCCAGTTTGCGCTAGATTCTTTCATAATGGGTTAAGTATTGCTCATGTTAGCTCATACTAACGAAAACCCCCCACAACATGAAAATTGGCTTGACTTTTCCATGTAAGAATTTACAGCAAAGAAATTTCAAACGAATCATTTATTTCTGTTGCTCATATTAGCTCATAATAATTTCGTCATTTTTTACGTATTTTTTAGCCTGATAATGATATATGTGTTGCTCATGTTAGCTCATAATAACGAAAACCAGAGAAAATGAAAATTGAGGTAGTCTTTTCCATGTAAAAGTTTATAGCAAGTGAATTTTTGCCTAATGGTATTCATGTTGCTCATCTTAGCTCATATCAACAAATCGCCGAGAGCAAAATTTCAACAGGCTCATTTTTTTCCATGTTGAAACCATGTAAAAAAACCGAAAAAAATGATTATATTATTGCTCATCTTAGCTCATAGTAATCGACTTTATAAAACTTTATGCTTTTTTTCTTTCAACAGTATTCTTCAAACGCACTGTATTCAGGAGTGGTCGTTTTAATTATTGGTTTTTATTGCTCATTTTAGTTCATAGTAAGCTTATTTTACTCACAAAAATATAATAGTCACTCCTTTCGATAAAGTATTGCAGTTTATTGCTCATTTTAGAGGACCATTACTCAGATTACTTACGGCTAGGAAAAGTTCGATTTTTTCCGATGACCTCTTCTTATTGATTTTTTCAGGTGATGGGTGATCTTACTGTAGAATACGGTGCGACGATTACGATAGAAACTGGCGTCAGGATCTATTTTGACACTGGGGTTGGACTGATCGTCAAAGGGGCCATTAGAGCTGTGGTGAGTGAGATTATGACGTCATTTTAAGCTTTAATGACGTCATTTTCACATATTTCATGACGTCATTTTTTATAAAAACTGTTTCATGATTTTTTTTTCTGCTCTTAAAAATTTTTCGAGAAGTTTATTGGTTTTTAATGACGTCACTTTAATTTCCGTTTTGAATTTATGACGTCATTCTCACAGTATATCGTTAAATTTCTCGGTGAAACGGTAATGTGACGTCATTTAGAGCTAAAGATGGCGTCACCTTAACAGTTAAACTAAGTTAAACTAAAGGCTTAACTAATTTCAGGGGGTCTTCCCCATTTCATGACGTCATTTCATTGAAATGTCTAACGTCCTCAGACTCTTCACTTCTTGAATTCATTCATAGAATTTTTGAAAGTGATTTTTCCGTTTTTTTTTTTACGTCATTCCAATCTTTTTCTCATGGATGACGTCATTTTCATGCCGTTTTTTAGGGTTTGATTCCGTTGAATTCCAGTAATGACGTCATTTTAATCTTTTCTTGATGTCATTCCAACATTTTTCTTGCCATTAAAGATGAATTTTATTTTCATTTCTCAGAATTTTCATCTTTTTTCTTTAGTTCCTAACGTTCTTAGGGTTGGATTCCCTTAAAATTGAATAATGGCGTCATCTTTTTTCAACTTGTTTTTTAAACTGAATATTTCGAATGAGTTGGAATTCCTTATTTTTGATTTTTGAATTTGATTCTTCCAACTTAAAATTATTTTATGGAGGGAAAATTAGGAGACAGACGACCCAATATCGATTTTTCTTCCCAGTCATACCTATTTTTGTTGACTCTTCGGCTAACATAAGGCTGGGTTGTTGCATGTGAAGGGGGACGGATATACTTTGTTTGGTTAGAACGAGCCGATCCGCGAGTAAATAGTGAAAAATGTTCGGTTTCTAGGGAGATTTCTGAGGAAAATTTGCGGATTGATAGAAATTTTTGTTCCTCAAGAAAATATTGATAGCTCTGTTCATAGTAATAAAACTATCTGGATTTAAATTTTTGAAAAATATATAGAAATTTAATTTTTTCCCTCACAAAAGCTCCCGAATGGCTCTGTAATTCAGACACGAAATATTTTTTGGTAAAAACCGGGTTACGGTAAGCAACTTTGTGTCGCACTGCCTTGGCGCGAACTCCAAAAAAATATATTTTTCTCGGAAATATAAATTTTTTTGGATTTAAAATAAATATTTAAGGATCAAAACCATGTTTTACTGACCTTTAGAAAAAAAGAAAAATTTTCACAAAAAGCTTTTTCGTGTTTTTTTAAAGGAGCATGGACTGATTTAATAAAGGTCTCTAAGCGAAAAAAACGTAATTTTCATGGAAATTAAGGACTTTTTACCTGTTCAATAATAAAAAGGATTCCTGAAAGAGAAAGTATGAATAAAAGTTCAAATTTTCAGGGAAACGAATGGGCCCACATCCAGATGCTCCCCTATCAGCAGCAGATCAACTACGACTCGGAAATGCCCGATTTTCGGCTTGTCGACGGCCCGACAGTCCGCCAAGGCCGACTTCAGGCCCGTTTCAGGGACCGGTGGCGATCTGTCTGTACTATGCTCACCAAGTAAACATTTTTTCTAGTTTTACCCAAGTTTTTTGAAGATAATTCCTGGGAAAATAACTATAATATTTTCCTTTGTTTCGGTTTATTCACGAAATTTAATGAAAAATTAGCAATATCATGTCTTAAAATAGTTGTTTCAACTTTCTTGTCTGTTAAAAACGTGAATTCGACGAAAACGACGCAAAAATAATGTTTACAGCTGGACGTCCGTCGACACCACTACGGCGTGCAAATCGATGGGATATTCGGATGGAGGTTTTTTAAAAAAAATTAATTGATAAAAATCGAAAAATTTTGTACAAAATTATTCAATAAAATTGGAAAAAGAATATTGAAAAAGGAGCGCAAAAATTGGAAATATTACTGTACTGAGTGATTACGCAATCGACCCTCTTTCTCTTTGCACTAGAAGCACTCGATTCGACGCGCAGCGTTCACGTCTATTTTTTTTTAGTTCCTTCACGTTTTTAATATTATTTTTTCTTAATTTTTTTACATGTCTTTTGATTTTTCGGTTTATTAGGTCTTCATTGAGACATTTTCAATAATTTTATGCAAGTAAGTCGGAATTCATGTCATCATTCTTCAAAAGGGAAATTCATTCGTTTTGACTTAAAGTTGAAAAAAACAGAAATAAGTGTTATTTTTTTGAAGCTCGATCCATAGTAGAGAATATATGAAGCAGAAAGATCGTTGGAAGTTCGAAAATTGCAGAAATATAATACGAAATGATTGTTTGGATTCAAAAAAATTGTAGATTTTCCGAATAATTCTCCACGAATTTGTTTTTTTCAGCTTTCTGGAAATGGTATCTCCGAAACAACGACACCTATCCAATGGCGATGCCATATCCGGATTGTCATAAAGGAGCCCGAAATCTATGGGATTGTCCTGGATTCGCCGAGGAGAATAATATAAGGTGAAAAAGATGATTTGTTGGTTTCACAAGGAAAGTCATTTTTTGTTTTTTTTTAAGATTGCTCAACAAACACTGAAATTCAAGATAAAATCGACTTTTTGAAATCGTTTCGAAACGTATCTTTCCGAGCTGAAAAAGTTCATTTTGAAGTTTTCCGCTGCGTTCTCACGTGGATTTTTGAGTGTAAAATTTATTTTTCGATGAGAAATTCTTGTTATTTTATCATTTTCTCGTTTTTAGATGTTAGTTATTTGAAATTTAGGTCATCAAACTTCTATAGGCGAAGTTTTCTTGATTTTTGATTTTTTTCACGTATTCCAACCTTTCAGTTTATTTTTAAGTTTAGGGTTGCCAAAATGGGAAACTTTTCAAGACCTTATTTTTTGAGATCTCTGAGTTTTTTGATGTTCAGGCTGAGTGAAAACTTGTGCCAAGGCGAAGACGATTTGGGAATTTATTGCTGGGGTCCGCCGATTTTTCACCGGATGGGCTAAACATTGGAAAGGTTCATTTTCTAATTTTTTTGTTGTTTTAAATTATTCGGAAATGTCTCATTTTTTTGTAGAAATGTTGATTTTTGGTCCTGTTTTTGATATTTTTTTGGATTTGTATATTTGCAATAGTTTTTTTCGATTTTTTTAATAGCCACTTCAAATTTTTTTGTATTCCTGATTTTCTAGGCATCTTTTTAATTTCATTTAAATGAGCACTTGGGGTTTTTAAAAAAATACTTGTACGATCATTTTTCATTTTTTTGGCGGATTTTTTTGAATCTTTAAAAAAAGAAAAATTTTGCCTTTTTTTGGCTTTCAGTTTCTTTAAATTTAGGCTTTCTTCAGATTATTTTCATTCGAATTGTTTTTTTAGGCCTCCAAATATTCAACTCACCTTTTACCTACGTGAATTCGGATCCGGATATGGTTTCCGTGAATCGGGAATCTTACAGTCGATTGGAATTTATCGATATTCTTTTTGCTGGTTATGATGGGTGGGTTTGTAGCTTATTTTGTGCCAGCTTGTCACGTTTTTATCTCCCTCCAAGCTACACAAGTCTCGCAGGAAGCTTCTTATCAATGCGCGAGTGCTGCCTGTGAGCATGCGTCTTTAATTTTGCTCCAAAATGTTTTTAATATTAAAGGCGCATACAGACAGACATATCGCGCGCATTGAAGCGAAGGTTTTGTTTTGTCTCCCAGTATGCGCCTTTAATATTAAGAAATATAAGGTTATGTTAAAGAGATGGTTTTGGCCGGTATATAAGCATGAGCCTTTAATAATATGACAACTTTAAGCTAAATTAAAGACGCATGCTCAGAGACATGTTTTGCGCATCGAAGGGGATTTTTTTGAGTCATTAGTGAGTAAGTCAATTTCTTTGAAATTTTTTTTTTAAAGGCGCATGCTTAAAAACAGGCCGAATTTTATCATTATGTATGCGCCTTTAATAAGACGAAATTCTAAGACTTAGTTAAAGGCGCATACAGAGAGACAGACCGCGCGTATCGAAGGAACGGGTTTGGCTTGTCGCTGAGCATGCGCCTTTAATATACGGAAATTTTAGGCCTAATTAAAGGCGCATGCTCAGGCCGCGCTTTGATATAACGGCAATTATTATGCGTTATTAAAGGCGCATACCTCGAGAGAGGTCGCGCGCACCGGAGGGAAACCTCCCGGAAGGGCTCTGTAGCTCGGAAGAAAATGAAATCGTGACACTCTGGCACGGAATAGGCTATAATACTGGTTCAAAGTTGCAAATCTTTAATTTCAGGGTCACAAAAAACACGACATCGGCCCTGTATATCGAAGGTGTTCCCCCGATTATGAATGGCTTGAGGGTCGAGAGAAGCGCTCGGGACGGATTGTGGCTCTATGAAACGACTGGTAGGGACTAAACATTTGATTGAAGTTTAGGTTTCTGAAAAGATTCTTCTGGAATAGTGATTTTATTAAATTCAATGTGAGTGAGGCTAGAAAAAATTTTTTTCTCAACATCTTTCAGAGTTTTTTCTAGAAGTTAAAAGTCTGATTCTCTGTGCCCTCTCATTTTTACGCGCTTTTCTCAAGTTTCTATGACCTCAGAGGTTAGGGAGAAGAGAGCGCAGACAGGTCAGCTTTCAGCAAATCATTGGAATGACCAACCGTTTGAAATAAAAATCCCAAGAAAATATTGATTTGTAGGCCTAGTTCAACGGAATTTGAAGTTTTTTCTCGAAAACCAGAAAATTTTGCAGGTTGAGATTCATAGAATAAATTTCTGACACGTCAAGGAATTTTCTAGCCAATTTTTTCTAGAATTTTTCCTTCCTTGAATTGAAATAAGCTTGCTTTTTGGGGGAAATCCAGCAAAAACTGAATAAATCGCTGAGGTTTTAATTTCCCTTCAGGGGGTCCTCTCTCGAAAACTAGAAAGTTGTGCAAATTGAGTTTTTCCGCTACATTAAAAACTTTTTCTGGTCAAATTTTATAGCTGCTTAGAGCCATCGAAAAATAGGTGCTGACACGATTAGAGAAGAGATAGTGTATTGTTGGTGGAGAGCACAGACAGGCCACGCCCAAGTTAGCCGTTAATCGACTATATTTTTAATTGGTGTTCCGAGTCATAGTTATAGCTGATTCACGACTGGCTTTGAGCCAACGAAAAATGGGTCCTGACACGGTCAGAAAAGAGATAGTGTATTGTTGGTGGTGAGCACAGACAGGCCACGCCTACTTAGCGTCCCAAGCTAGCCGTTAATCGGCTATAGAAATTTCACAGCCTCGAACTGAAATGAGCTTCCTTTTTGGGCCAATTCCAAGAAAAACAGAAATCCGTCTTTTCAGGCCCGGCCCTGATAGCCAATTCAACATTTTCCTTCAATCGAGGCCACGGGATCGCCGTGGAAAATACGACCGATGCCAGGGTTTTCGTAAACAATACTCGGATCGAGGGAAATTGGGGCGACGGAATTTGGTACCGGCAGAAATTCGAGACCAATCTCGTGCTCCATGGACTGAGTCTGTGGATTTCCGAAGAAAAGAAGGATTTTTTCCGAGTTTTTAGGAGAAAGAAGAGAAATCGGCCATCAGGAGGAAGAAGCCGTGAGGATCGAAATGTGTTCGAACCATACGGTCCCCAGGAATTTGTTCTTTCCCCATCTGATCGCGGTTCATCTCCAAAATGGAACGCTTATCGATCCAAACCTGCCGTCGCCCTGTTGGATGGTTGGTTTTTTTGAATGATTTATCGATTTTTTGAGTTTTTGACGGAGAAGAAATTTTTTTTCCAGTGAATTTATTGTAGATTGTACAAAATTTGAGTTAAAATTATTGGAAAGGTTGGAGAAATACTCAATTTGAAAAGGATTGAAGAAAAAAATTAGGCTTTAACAGGGAACCCCCCTCCCCCGAAAAGGAAAAAAACAATAGCTACCTACCCGAAAAAGACACCCCCCGCCTTCTGAAAAGAAAAGCTCTATCTAACCGGGAAGAAACCCACTCCCCCTCTCTCCTAAAAGGGAAAAACTCTACATACCCGAAAAGGAATCCCCCTCCTGAAAAGGAAAAAGCTCTAGCTACACGAAAAGAAATCCCCCTCCCCGCCCCCCCTCGCCCCACTGGAAATGAAAGCTTTATCTATCCGGAAAATGGCTCAAAAATTTGGAACTGTCGGCTCTTTCGGTCGGTTCAAAGAGGGAAATTTGAACTTCAACAGGACATTATTCATTTTTTTACAGAAAAAGAGATTTTCTTCAAATTGTCGTTCTGTTTCTCCAGAAAAAAAGTCCGAAAAATTTTTTTACTGTTTAGAGAAAGAAATAAAAGGAATAAATAGGAAAAAAACTAATAAACTTATCATTTTTTTACAAAAAGGGATTTATTCAAACTTCTCAGTGGTTTCTTCCTTGGAAAGCAATCGCGAACGTTTTTTTCCATCTTTATATTTTTTTATAAAATTGCAAATTTGAGATTTTCCTATCCTTTTTAGCACTGGAATGAGTGTGGATTTGGAAATTTTTTTGATCCTGAAAAATCAATCTGCTGAATTTCATAGTTTCCTTCAATAGATGTGTAATATTCGGTTCTGAAAGTTAAAAAAGATATTTTTTTTTCATTTTTCCCCTCTCAAGGTTAGTATATGTTTCATGAAAGTTTCAAAAATGAAATGAACTTGGAAAATTAGTTCCAATTTCGAACATCTTGTTTTCTACCTTTTTTTGTCACTTTATATGTATGACCGTTTGTAAAATTTCTCTGGTTTTGTACAAAATTGACAAAAAAACATTTTTTTATCAGTTTTGTGTCAAAAATAAGATTATTCGGAGAACAAAGGCCCGTTTCTGTAACACACGATGTTCCATTGGGACAATTTGAGCACGTTTTTCCTTCTTCGTAGATTTTTGCGCCGATTATGTTGCCCCTAAAATGATTTTTTTGTTTTGAAAAGCTTGTTTTATATAGGAGAAGCTTAAAAAAGCTATTTTTGGGGCAGAAAACTCGTTGAAAATGGTTTTTTGGTTCAAAAAATGAGTTTAAAGTCCCTTTTTTGTCGTTTTTTGTTCATTGTGAAAGCTGAAAAAGGCGATTTTCGCAGTTTTTTTTAATCGATTTAAGCTTCTGAGTAAGATTTTTTGATTTAAGGGCCTTTTTTCACAAATTTTCGATTCTAGGGAGCCTCTAGAAAAATTAAAAACTCACGGAGGACTGTAGTGACAAACGACATGAATTATCGACCAGTTTTGATTAATTCGGCAAGAATTTATGCCACATCCGATAGAGGACGTTGAAGCCCAAGCCATCTGAAGTTGAAAAAATTGAAGAAAATGGATTTTTTTTTAAGCAATCGCAAGGATTTGCAGGAATATAGTTTTTAAAAAAGCAGCTTTTGAGGGAAAAAAATAGCAGAAATGGGCTAAAAAAATTGAGAAGAAATTTTTCATTTTTTTTAATGATCAATTATAGTGATTTTTCTGCATTTTTTTCAATTACAATTTTTAGAAAAAAGCCCGAAATTTATGAATATAAATATTAAAAAAATGAAGATTTTCTCAATTTCCTGACCATATGAAGGAAAAAAAGAGTTTCCTGGAAAATAATGATATTTCTCTATGGAGCGCACATGTCAGTTCGAAAAAAGCTTCATTTATCATTTTCGTCATTTTTTTCTGTCATTTTGCTGAATGCTTCCCGGACGGGTCGGAGCATTTCTAGTGACCGCTTTAGGGACGTCAGCACTCTTAAGTGATCCCTAGAAGTGCTCGGAAGTTTTGCGTTATCGAGGTACGAGAGGTTGAACTGGGAAAATTTTTAGTGGCCACTATAGGGTTTTGAAGTTTTAGTGGCCACTATAGTAGTCACATTAGTGGCCACTATAGAGGTCTAAGTGCTACTACTAGACCACAAAAAAGTTTAGTGGCCACTTTAGGATTCAATGGATCAACATAACTGGTCCAATCTGTTTGTGTTGAAATAATTAGAGTTCCGGGAAGGAATACTGGATGAAAAACTACTGAAGTGGCCACTATATAAAGAACCTCTATAGTGGCCACTGAAACAGAAAATAGTGCCCACTATAGAGGTTGGTTTAGTGGCCACTTTAGTGTCCTCTCCAAGTAGTCCTTAAGAAACCTCTTAAGGGGCTACTAAAAACTTTCCCAGCAATATCCAGTTTTTCCAACTTTTGAAGTTTGAGACCCAAATCCATACCTGAGTAGCATGTCCAATACCGGAATTGAACAGCTCCGAAGTTAAAATGTTACTTGGCCAGCCGAGGTCCTGAAACTCGGAAATCCACAGTTCTGCGGCTCGGAGTCCCTGAGAAAAATCATCATTCTTTTCGGATTGAAATTTTAAATTAATAATTCTAAAAAGATTGAGGGGAGATTCTGCATAATGAGGGCTGATTTTTCTTCGATAAGGTTCAGATCAGTTTAGTGATCACTTGAGTGATTTTAGGGCCTCTTAGGGGCCTATTCCAGTATTTTTCAAGAAGCTATTGATCAGATGGTAGGAAAAATAGAAAGGACTGATTTTTCCCCGATTTCTCGGACGATTTTGATCAATTTAGTGATCCCTTGAGTGATTTTTTGAACTGGGTTCACTTCGATAAGGTTCTGATCATTTTAGGGATCACTTGAGGGATTTTAGGGCCTCTTAGGGGCCTCTCCCAGTATTTTTCAAGAAGCTATTGATCAAATAGGTAAGGAGGATATAAAAGACTGATTTTTCTTCGATTTCTCGGACGATTCTGATCAGTTTAGTGATCATTGAAGTGATTTTAAAGCCTCTAAAGAGCCTATTCACGTATTTTATGATTTTTCTTCGATTTTTTAGCGATTTAGGGATCACTTGAGTGATTTTAAGGCCTCTAAGAGGCCTTTTACAGTATTTTTTGATTTTTCTTCGATTTTTTTAACGATTCTGATCAGTTTAGGATCACTTGAGGGATTTTAAGGCCTCTTAAAGGTCTATTCTAGTTTTTTTTTTTTTGATTTTTCTCCGATTTCTTGGACGATTCTGATCATTTTAGTGATCCCTTGAGGGATTTTAGGGCCTTTCAAGCGCCTATCCCAGTATTTTCTCTCACTAACATGAAATTCGGCGCTTCTAGAAGAGCTGATATAGTCCATCCCGAAGTATAAGTTCTCCCCAACGCCTCTAAGATGAGAATGAGCTTGGATACAGGTCCCAGCGTAGTTTTGAGCGCTCTGAGCCAAGGTTTCGTTCCAGTTCTGAAATTTATAAATCCGTAATTTCCCTTTTTTGAAATGTGTATCTAAAAATGTACACGAAAACGACAAAAAACGATTTTTTCACTTCAAGTTAACGCATAGAAGTTTATTAAGCTTGATGAGTTTTCTGAGGGATCCCTTTAGGGTTTTGTTGTTTTAGGGATCACTATAGGGGAGAAAATTGAAGTGGCCCCTATAGGGCTTCCTGCGCTACCAAATATAACTCTAACGTTTTAAGTCCCTATAGGGACCACTTAAAGCTTCTCAGTACTAAGTTTATTAATTATTTCTTTTCAAAGCGAGATTTAAGCTTTACATTTCACGAATTTGATGTTTTTCACGGTTTTTTCTGAAGCTATAGTGAAAACTATGTATTTGAAAAATTTCAAAGTTTTTTTAACCTTCTAAGAAAATTTTTAGTAGCCACTATAGAGGGTCGCCAAGGACTGCGTGGAGAGGTCACTAAAGTGGCCACTAAACCCAACTCTATAGTGGCCACTATTTTCCTTTTTAGTGGCCACTTCAGTAGTTTTTCATCCGGTAATCTTTCAGTAACTCTGATAACTTTAAAACAAACAGATTGGACCAGTTATGTTGATCCATTGACCCCTAAAGTGGCCACTTACAGTCTATTAGTAGCACTAAGACCTCTATAGGGGCCACTACTTTTTAACCCTCTTAAGTGGCCACTAATTTGACTACTACAGTGGCCATTTAAACGTCAAAACCCTATAGTGGCCACTAAAACGTCAAAACCCTAGAGTGGCCACTAAAAATTTTCCCTTTTGAGAATAGATTTTTCGAAAAGGTTACTTGCAACCAATAATGAATCGATTTCTTCAACATTTGTTTTTACTCACCAATTGAAACATATTCATAGCTGGTGGCTTTAAAATCCCTTTCGTTACGTATTTTCCCATCGCGATGTCACTTCGTATACGATTGTGAAGCTGGAGAATCCTTTCCTTGCCATTTTCAGTGAATTCTGCTCGGATCCCTACAAATTCTGTTGAAAAATTAGGAGAAAGAGGCTTTTTTAACAGACCTGATAGCAGTAGAACGAGAAAAAACGAATATTTTGTCATGATTTTGAGGAGAATGACTGGTCAAAACGGAGTGGCTACCTTTTAAGGAGTTGAGGTCCACTTCCTCTTTTGGGCAACTTTTTTCTTCTGTTTACTCAAAAGCTTTGGGTTTTTTCCCATAATGGATGGTCAAGTCTGAGGTCAGAAAATGCGATTTTGAGAGTTTTCTATTGATAAATCGAAATTATGGCTCATAAATAACAATTTTTTTCTGCTAGAATGTTGAAAAAATGAAAATACGATTTTTTTTTTTCGACTTTCTGATCCCCATCTGCTCACTGTTACGTTAAAATTTGACAAAAAAGGCGAAATTCGATCACTTTTTGGCCAATTTTTCGTCTCCTCTTCCTCACTGAGTTTTGATAATTTTTTTTTTTTTGATAAAAATTTATTTTTTTTTGATTTTCTGTGCCCTCATGTTTACTTTGACGTTAAAATTACACAAAAAAAGCCAAAATTTGGTCATTTTTTTTCGGTTTTCTGTGCCCCTCTGTTCACTTTTACGTTAAAATATAACGAAAATAGCGAAGATTTGGTCGCTTTTTTCCGGTTTTTTTACACCCTCTACTCAATTTCACGTTCAGATCTATCAAAAATGTGGAAATTCGAGGATTTTTTTCAATTTTCTGTCTCCCCATGCTTACTAGGATGTTGAAATCTTACAAAAAAGGCAAAATTTGGTCATTTTTTCCCTGTTTTCCTTCTATCTTTGTTTACTAATATCTCAAAATTTCTCAAAAAAGGCAAAATTTAATCATTTTTCTCGATTTTCTGTCTCCCACTGTCCACTGTTTTCCTAAACTTCAACAAAAATCACAAAATTTGATCATTTTTTTTCAATTTTCTGCTTTCCTCACTTCACTGTTACAAAGAAAAGTTATTTCCAATAGATTTATTGACTAAATGATTCTGAGTCGACCAGTGTACATTTCAAGCACAAAGTCCAGTCGCGACAACGCAAGTGCTCCCTTTAGGGCACTTTGAGCAGGTCTTTCCAGACTCGTAGATATCCGCGCCGATGACGTTGCCTCTGAATTGGAATTTAGGATTTTTTGATGAAATTTTTGCAGCTTTTGCGCTCTACGGCTAAATTAAAAACAAGTGGAGTTCATTTCATAGTTCAAAAATGGAGCCTAGGTTTTTGCCTCTGAATTGGAATTTTGGATTTTTTTTTTGATGAAAATTTTGCAGCTTCTGCGCTCTACGGCTAAATTAGAGTAGAATAGGAGTTTTTCGAAAATGGCATTTTGATTTACTGCCAATGAAGTGAAGTCGGAGATTTTCAAGTCTAAAGCCCTTTTTTTCTGAATTTCTGCGCTCTACGGTCAAATTCAAGACAAGGGGAATTCATTTCAAAGTTCGAAAATGGAAACTAGGTTTCTTCTTGCACCCGACTTTTCCCTGGTTTTCGGAGGCCAAAATTAAGATTGAAATTCGAGATTTTCGTGTCAAAAACTTGAGCGCTTTTTTTCAGAGTTTCTGCGCTCCACGGCTAATTTCATGATCCACCTTTCACTTAAGAGTACTGAAGCCACTGAAGGGATCACTAGAACTATTAAAAAAAAAGTCCGGGGCACGTCTGAGGTCCGAGACACTTTACAACATTTCTAGGGACCCCTTAAGCAACTAAAGAACCCTTAAGTGATCTCTAGAATTTCTAGGAAGTGTCCGGGGCACGTCTGAGGTCCGAGACACTTCACAGCATTTCCAGGGACCCCTTAAGCGGCTAAAGAACTCTCAAGTGATCCCTAGAAGTGCTCAGAAACGTCCGGGGCATGTCTGAGGTCCGAGACACTTCACAGCATTTCTAGTGACCCCTTTAGCGGCTTAAAAACTCTTAAGTGATCCCTAGAACTGCTCAGAAACTTCTAAGGTCCGAAAGAAATGAAGAAGTGTCCAAATGAAAAGAAACTGACTGGTCCTTGTACTGGCAAATGACGGCGAGGGTGTCGGGCCTGTCGTCCTTCTCCGGGCAGAAATGATAGCCACAGCCCATGGCGTGTGTATCGGCCCAGGCGACCTGAGTCGCGTGACCGATGCCCGAATTGAAAAGCGGGTAGGTCAGGGTGTTGGAAGGCCAGCCGAACTCCTGGAACTCGTCCGCCCACATCACGGAAGCAGCCTCCGCCTGTAACGAATATGATCTCTTTTTTTCGCGATTTGAAATTCTCCGCTACCCTCTCATGTTCTAAACTCCATTCACTATTCCTTAAAATGGCTTGGTCGCATTTGAAATGGCTCAAAGCGTAGAGCCGTGCAGGGCTTTTTCATATAGTCCATTTTAAGAATGGGGTTCTCTGCAACCTCCTCGTCTCTCGACGACCATTTCCTGTTGTAGTGCTATTTTTTTGATTCTCTGACCTCGCCGGTGAGGGAACAGAGAGACACAGACACTCGAAAACTTTCAAAAACAGGATTTCTTTCCTTAAAATCGCCCGGAATACCTTTTCAGAACGGATAATTTGCCTCACTCACAAAAAAAGCTTTTATGGACAAATCAATATTGAAAAAATGTCACAAGGACTTGAATCAAAGAAATATGAAACCTTACCTGATGGATCTGACAAGTTTTGAAGAAAATCGCCTTTCTGACGGATTTCTCCAACTTTGAGCCCTCTTTTCTCAAAAACGAACAATTTTCGCAGGGTGAGATTTTCAAGATATACATCTGGTACATCAAGGTTTACCCTGACCGATTTTCAAAAATTTCTGAAGGCAGGAGTGAAATCACTTCCTTATGATGCTCTCATAGATGATTCCCTTGGTGGACTTTTTTCCTTTTTCGTGCATATTCCTGGGAGAAACTAACAATTTCGTCGTAGTTGTCGGGCTCGGGCATGTACATCTGCCAGTAGATGTTCTCGCCGACGCCTTTCCGGTGGGAATGGCCCGTCGGACAGGTCTCGGCGTAGGCTTGAGCCTGGGTGGCGACCTCGTCGTCCCATACCTGAAGAAAAATCGGATTTTTCATTCAGAAGGTGTCGATTTTGAATGATTTTTTTTCGAAATGATCCCTACCAACTGGTACATATTGGTAGCGGGAGGCTTCGTGACCCCCCTGGCCACATATTTGCCCAAAGCGATGTCCGACCGAACTTTATTATGATGATCGAGGAAGATTTGCTTCTGCTTGTCGGTGAACTGGGCCAGGGATCCTGGAATTTTTTTTCCAAATTTTTCAATATTATTAACGTCAGAGAGTACGAAAGATAACTAAACTTTCGGAGAAATAGAGATAATTTGGAATCGGGCGGTGTTTTTTATTTGAAAGGAAAACATGACGGTTTTTTGGTCTAAATTTTGAAGTTTTGAATTTTTTTTTCCAAAATTTTCTATGATTTATCAAAAGTTCAACAATGAATATTCTCAATTAACTAACGATATATTCAATTAATATTGATATTTGATAAAGCCTGAAATCTGGATTTTTGAATTTTTTTTTCATCGAAACCATTGTTTTTCGGACAGTATTTAATCGACGATTTCAGCTCTAATTTTGAATGTTAAAAATTTTTTTCCAGTAAACCTGGATTTTATTCAATCGCACTTGATTAACGATTGCACATCACTAAGCTCTCAAATTTGAAAAAAATTTCAATTGATTGGCAGAAGCGATTCTTGGGGGCTTGGCTGTCCCCAGTCATGCTTATCCCATGTATGTTTTGAAGGATAATTAGAGGATTAAGCAGGAAAAATGTTTGAGCAAATTTATAAATTTTGCATTTTTCTCGTTATGTAGTCAATTTTTCCCGACTTGAAAGGCGAGGGAGGCGGGGCAGGGGACGGGACGCGTAGCGTGTGCGCTCGCGGCTCTTGGCACGTGTTCAATTCAACCGCCATCGACTCTTTGAAAAGCCCGTTTTTCGCTTTTTCCATTTCTTTTTCAATTATTTATTGATTATGTTTATGTGTGCATCAAAAAATAGTAGAAAACATTGGAAAAGAGCGGTTGTGGAGCTTTTTAAATAGTCGGCGGCAATTGAATTGAACTCGTGCCAAGAACCGCGAACGCACACGCTACGCGTCCCGCCCCTTGCCCCGCCTCCTTCGCCTTTCAAGTCGGGAAACATTGACTATATCATTCCTTTTTCCCAATAGAAATTCGTGTGAAAACATTGTTCAATTCAAAAAATGGTTCTTTTTCAAAATACCAATCCTAGCGTGTTATGTACGTATTCCTTTATAATACGACCAGTTTTTCAAAAAAAGGTTACTTTTTATCTATTTAACTCGGAAGGCATCTTATCGAACGTAGAAAAAAAAGATTGATTAAAAATTCCTATGAAACAGGAGTTTAATATTTCCCCTCGATTTTACCCGATTCTGAGCATTTTTCTCACAAGGAAGGTCATTTCACTTTGCGGCTGGGAATTTCTTGATAATAAGTCAGAATCCTTGTTGTACCAGATGAAGTTCCTGGAATTCTGCACAATTTTCTACTTCACGAGAAACAAGGGCCTAAAGCCCCCAAATAGCCCATTTTAGTTGATTTTGAAGGTTTTCTTCGACTTAGAGGCGTCTTTTCTCAAAAAGGGGAAGTTTTGTAGGTTGAAACTTTCAGAATCGCCTTCTGGGTCATCAAGCAGCTTTCTGGTTAATTTTCTGGGAAGTATCAAGTAAAGGGGCCTCCCTTCTCAGGCTTCTAAAAGAGGTCAAAACCCTAAAGTGACCACTAGAAATGTTGCCAGTAGCGTTTTTTCTGTCATAATTTGCGTATTTTGCCCACTAAAGCTTCATAAATATAAGATTAGAAATACTGAAAAAAATTTTTTTCTTGTTCTCTGGAAGCAACAGGTCTTAAAAGGGGGTGGGGGTCAAAAAAACGCTCCCTAGTCGGGGGTTTTTTCTCAAAATGTCCGATTTTTCTAGTCAAAATCTAAGTTTTCCTCCTAAAAAAATTTCATGGAAATTTGAAAATGTAATTTCAATAGCAGCCAACTGAACAAAAATTAAATTTTTTTCAAAAACTAACCAACTCCCAAAACGGCAATCGCTGTCAGTAGTTTAATCGCCACCATAACTGCCGATTTTCCCGTATTTCTATTGAATAGAAATACAAAAAGGCCCCCAAAATGATTATTTCTGAACCTTTCACCAGCTTTTTATGTCAACCAGTTTCACATGGAATCAAGTTTATGAGCGTTTAAACCAAGGGAAAAAAATATGCGGTTCGAGAAATTTTATTCCGTTTTTTGGATTTTAGAAATAAAAATGAGGAAGTGAAATTTGATTTTTATAAGCAGTTTTTAAGCACAAAGGCCTGTCAAAGCTTCACAGGCGATTTTAGCTGGACATTTTGAACATGTTGGTCCTTCTTCGTAGATTTGGTTGCCGACCATGTTTCCGCTGAAAAAAATAGATGAGAAAAAAATAGCCGTGTAGCTTTCGCGCTCTATGGAGAAACTGATTTTTTTGATTTTTTTATTAAAAAAATAACCATCAAAAAAAGTGAGAAAAAAATAGCCGTGTAGCTTTTTGCGCTCTATGGAAAAAAACTGATTTTTTTAAATTTTCGGTAGGCTAAAAGTGATTTTCGACCTTTTTTTCACGTTCTCCATTCTTTATAAAAAGTAAAAAAAGAAGGTCATAGAGAAATGAGAAAAAAATAGCCGTGTAGTTTTTGCGCTCTATGGAGAAACTGATTTTTTGATTTTTTTTTTTTATGAAGATAATGGTGTTTTTTGACCTTTTTCACGTTTTTCAGCCTTCATAAAAGAGAAAAGGAATTTAAAAATCTCAAAAATTGTTAAAACCCCTTAATTTTGCTTCCGCTAAAATAAATGTAGATTAAAAAAATAGCCATCAAAAAAGTGAGAAAAAATAGCCATGTAGCTTTTGCGCTCTATGGAGAATCTGATTTTTTGAATTTTCGGGAGTCTAAAGGTGATTTTGGACCTTTTTAACGTTTTCAGTCTTCATAATAGCAAAAAGAAGGTCATAGAAAAGTGAGAAAAAATAGCCTTGAAGCTTTTGCGCTCTATGGAGAAACTGATTTTTTCGGGTTTTTTTTGTGAAAAAAATAATGATTTTTAACCTTTTATGTTCTACATACAAGTGAAAAGAAGGTTTACAATTTTAAAAGTGACGAAATTCTTGGAATTTATCTTTAGAACTGTCGAAAATAACAGCCGAAAAAACCAGCCAAAAAAATTTATCTTTTGCGCTCTATGGCGATTATTAACCAAAGCTTGTATCATTTGCGCTCCATGGCGAACTTGAGATTCTCAGGATTTTTTTTGGGCTTTTTTTTTCTAGGAATTTTTGGAAATCCTTACGAAGTATGGAATAGTTGTCCGGCGACACTTATTCATTGGAATTCTCAAGGAAAATTATTTTTGGTCCCTAAATTTTTTTCTCATTTGAAAAGGTTCAAAGTCTTATAAGGCTTTGCCCACTGATTATCAAGTTTGACTATAACTCTAACCACAAAATAAAACTAACGGCTCAAAGTACTGGCAAACGACCACAACTGTATTGAATTGAGTAGCTGAAGCGGCTGGACACAGTTTCACTCCACATCCGACGTTTTCCGTAGCGGCCCACGCCATCTGAACCCCCTGACGTCTTCTGAAAACGATTCAGAATTCCCCACCGCAGTCGCATGACCTATTCCGGTGCTGAACAGGTCGACGGTCGTTTCATCCGATGGCCAGCCGAATTTCTGGAATTCGTCCTGCCAGGCGGTCGTGGCGTTGATTCCCTTTAAAGAAGAAGTTTCTGGCCTGTCTGCCCTCTCTTTTCTCTTGTCATAAGGATTTTGAACGTTAGAGAGTCGTTAACGGTGAGAGGGCGCAGAGAAAACGAATCATTCCTCACGACTTGGAACTGTATGACCTGTCTGTGCTCTCTTGTCTCTCGCCGCCGAGGTCATAGAGTCATACACATAAAAATAGTGCGTGAACATGAGAGAGCACAAAGAAAACAGATTATCAAAACCTCTGGCTGCCGCATCCATTAGCTTTACGAAAAACAGAATTTTTGAAGTCTCTGACCTCTCTGCGCTCTCTTTTCTCTCATCTCAAAGGTCATGGAAACGAGAAAATAGTATGTAGACACGAGAGAGCTTAGAGAAAATCATAATTTTTATTACGGCTGCCGCATTCACTCCCTTCAAGGAAACATACGAATTGAAACTGTCTGACCTGTCTGCGCTCTCTTCTCCCTCGTCAACGAGGTAATAGAGACATAGAAATAGCGCGTAACAATGAGAGAGCGCAGAGAAATGAAAACTTTTCCTTACGGCTGTCGTATTCACTCCCTTCAAGGAAACATACGACTTGAAACTGTCTGACCTGTCTGCGCTCTCTTTTCTCTCGCCAGTGAGGTCAGAGACAGTATGCTATTACGAGAGAACCCAGAGAAACGGCACTTTTTCGAGCGAAACTCACATATGAGTTAAGATCTTCCGGTTTCTCGGTAATGTGAGCCCAGTACATATTTTCCCCGACTCCTTTTGTCTCAGAATGACCAGTTGGACACGTATCCGCGAAGGCTTGAGCGCTTTTTTCGAGGGTTTCGTCCCATTTCTGGAAGTTTTCAGGGGAAAGGAAGTGAAAATTAATTTTTTGAGGGAACATAATCATAGTGGAAGTCTTCAGAAAGGTTTTTTGGGAAGGATTTTTTCAGGAAAAGCCTTGAAAATTTTCCCCCTTACTGTAATTCTAGCTTATAAGTCATGTGAAACGCTTTGACGTGAAGTTGAAAGAGATTGAAAAAAATGAAGGAGTTTTTGAATATTAGGATCTGAAAAAGCTATTCAGACCTATTGATTTTTTCCAGGCCTACTGCGGAAATCTTAGAGGCCACTTTAGGGTTTTGAAGGTTTAGTGGCCGCTTTAGGGGTCAATAAATCAACATAACTTGTCCAATCTGTTTGTTTTAAAATTATCAGAGTTACTGGAAGGATTACTGGATGAAAAACTACTTAAGTGGCCACTAAAAATTTTGCCAGAAGTGGCCACTTTAGTGTCCTCTCCAAAAAAGCCTTGTGGAACCTCTCAAGTGACCACTACACTTTTTTTTTCAAGCATTTTTTCCATACCATTTTGTACATATTCGTGGCCGACGACTTGGTTGTCCCTTTAGCGACGAAAATCCCTCTCGAAACGGCCGATCGAAGCTTATTATGTTCATCTACTATTTTTTGTTGCCCTGGGACGTCGAATTGGGCTTGGGTTACTGAAAAAGACCTTATGGATAATAAAAGCGCCTTTTTTTAAGGGATAGTGATTTTATTTTTTTTAAAAACGCTTTCTTGAATTTTTAGACGTCTCGAAATCTGAAAAAAACTCAAAATGAAGCTTGAAACGGCTCTTCGCCTTGAGACCCTTATGAAATTTATCCATGCTCCTTTAATTTTTTTTTTCTTCAAAGAGGAAACTTGGATTTTTTTTTTTTGAAGATTTTTTAGTGTTTTTTTAAAGTCCTGAAATCGCAAAAACCCTAAATAAAAACTAAAAAAACTGCCCCTCCGCCTCGAGACCTTTATGAAACTTAATCATGCTCCTTTAAATATTGGGGTGAAATACTTTGGAAAAAGATTTTACATTTCAATGATTCCATAAAAGGTGAAAAAAAGAAAAAAAGAGTTATTTAATTGAATCTTCAGTTGAAAAAAATTACTTGTTATGTAGAATAAAAATAACTAGAAGAATATTGGAAAAAGCAGTTCATTGGAGAAAAGTCGATTAAGAGATTATTTTTCTTCCTTTTATGGGTTTTCAATCCAAAAATTGACACGCAAACAAAAAAACCGTAATCTTATCGGTTTTTTTGATCCCAAAAATTGAAACTTTCGAAAAAAACAAACGACTGAATTTTTTTAATTTTTTTGAGCTTTTACTCGTTGATCTTTCTGATTAGAGTTTTTTTAACAAAAAAAGTCATTTCAAGGCAATTTTTTTGAATGGAGGAAAGATTGAGGATGAGAAAAAAATTGCTCGAGTTCAAAGATTTGAGAAAAAAATAAGAAAAAAATCCCGAAAAAAATGCCGGAAATTTAGTGAAAAAAAGAGGGAAAAACGTTACATTCCTGTTTCATAGGATTTTTTTAAATGAATCTTGTTTTTTTCTACGTTTAATAAAAAAAGCGCGATTAGGGTAAATAGATAAATTCAGAAATAAAATTGATTTTTTGAAAACTGGTCGTATTATAAAGAAATACGTTCAGGAAAATCGAAACATTTAAAAAGAAATTCGAGAATTTGGAAAAATACCGACTTTTCAAGTATGCCTATGCCTGGAAAAAAATTTTTTTCGCGCGCGAATTTCCTGTCCAAAATGAACGATTTACAGACCGTATCCCTCCCGCCTCGGTTACCGTACACCTACAGTCTCCAATGGCTCTACATCCGCGACAGGAATCGACATCGCGAAGGCGTCAACTCGTCGTCGACGTTGGTCATCTGCGACGCCAACGAGCACGGCGATAACGCGTGCGCGATACCGCGTCTGCGGATCCCGATCCGCGACCGCGTCTATCCCCAGAGCATCAGCTTCAAGTGAGTAGGGATATAGACGATTCACGGCTAGCTTGAGACGCAAAAAGGCGTGGCTTGTCTGAACTCTCCACCAACCAGGCACTGTCTGTTCTCTTTTCGTGGCAGGACCCTTTTCAAGATAGTTCAAGCCAGCCGTGAATCAGCTATAGAAAAAAGTGAAAAATTGGTTTTTAGATGGACCCTGTATTCATAGAGAAATGATTTTGTTAGCAGTGAGATTACTGTAGAGCCATCATTGTTTCTGGTCGCATTTGAACGTCTCAAAGCGTTGCGGCCGCAATTTTTTAAAATTTTCGTTAGAGGGGCGTTAGAGAGCCCAATGCGCAAGTCGTTTTAAGTCGGGCCCTTTTTGTAACTTTTAAACGAGTCATAATTATTTTTGGTCGCATTTGGAATGGCTCTAATCGTGGCGCTCAAAATTATGTCAGATGGCAGTTTTTCTAACGCTTATGGTTGAGCTAGCGCGCAAGTCGTTTTGAGTCGGACCATTTTTTTAAACTTTTAGCAAGTCATTATTATTTTTCCTTGGTCGCATTTGGAATGGCTCTGACTGTGTAGGTCGAAATTATGTCAGATGACAGTTTTTCTAACGCTTATAATTAAGCTAGCGCGCAAGTTGTTTTGAGTCGGACCATTTTTTAGCGAATTTTTAGCGAGTTATTAATATTTTTCCGTGGTCGCATTTGGAATGGCTCTAAACGTTGCCGTTGCAATTTTTCTAATGCTTTCGGTTAGCCCAGAGCGCAAGTCGTTTTGAGTCGGCCGCATACTTTAGTCATTCCTCGTGCGGCCGTGGACTTTTCGGAAAAAAACCAGTAGAATATATGACTGGTTTTGAAGAATTGAAAGGGGATTATTCGTATATTTCGAAACAGAAAAGTCAGGTATTGTTCTGTCTGCTCTCTCTTTTCTCTTGCCTGTGAGGCTATAGCGACAGAAAAATAGCGTGTAAATGGGAGAGGCCCGCCTGGGAAATTTTTTAGTGACCCCTTTAGGGTTCTGACGCTTTAGTGGCCACTAAAGGAATCGAGTTAGTGGCCACTAAAGATTACTTTAGTGGTCACTGAGACGCAAATTAGTGGCTTCTATAGAGGCGGTTTTAGTGGCCACTTTAGAGTCCTCTGCCTCTTAAGAGGCCACTAGAAACTTTCTCGAAATTTATCGTTTCAGAAGCGCCGGTCGTCCAATGTATCTGGCCTTGGAGCATCTGGTCGACGGAGAGAATGTTGGATACGTTCAGGGCGATGTTCAGCTTCTGTTCCGGATCCATGCCAGCGTTTTAGGTGATTTCAAGGATTTCTAACTTATTCAGGCAGATTTAATTTCAGACAAGGCCTACTATGGCTTAAACGTAACCCACTGCATCATCGATGAGAACATCGGGAACGGGGTCCGAGCCAATGACGTCAGAGAACGGACGGCTCTCACAAATGTCACCCTGGAGGCGAATCAAGGATACGCGGGATTCTATGTCAATGTGTGTCGTTGATCTCTTTTTATTGATTTTTGTCCTCCCTCTCAGAAAAAATTTTTGAAAGCTTTCGAGTGTCTACGTCTCTGTTCCCTCACCGGCAAGGTTAGAGAAAAACGAAAATAGCACAGCAACATGAGAGGGTTGCCGAGAGACGAGGAGGTTACAGAGAAAAACAGCAGTTTTGCGATAAATAGACTATTGCGGTTCAAAAACTTCTAGGAGCTAATAAAGAAGCTTTACTGAGAAAGTTAGTCATGATTTTCCAGGGTGATGTTTTTTTGAAAATGCACTTTTTTCATTTTTGACGCGTTTTATGTTGTCAGTTTTGATTGCAAGTTTGGAAAAATTCAAAAATTTGGCGTTTCAAATCAATTTTTATAAGGAAATAGGTGGTTTTTTTCTTTGAATTTTTAAATTTTGAGCTATTATAAAGGTTGTTTCATCGTGTGGAAAAAGAAGCCTTGGAAAATTTTTCCCATTTTCTGAAGGTTTTTCGAAAAAAAAATCTTCATTTTTTAGCCGATTTTCTGTCAAATTCTCTCAGAAAAAGGAGCTTTTTCAGGGCGGCGCCGCAGATATTTGGATTAATGAGACGAGGATCCTGAAAAATTGGGGCGACGGAATAAATGTCAGCTATGTTGGTGGCTCAATTACGATCAACGGAACGAGGATTGAGAAAAATCGGTGGCGAGGTGGAGTTTTAAAAGAGAAAAGTCATTTCAAAAAAAAATTTCTAGGTAAGATTCAACGGAAAAAAAAAGCCGGAGTAGGTTAGGGATTATGTGCTCCAGTGATAATTTTGGAAAATATGCGAAAATAAAAGTTCAAAAAATGTTTGAAGGGAAATCTGAAGTGTAAAAATAGCCTGCATAGGTTAGGGAATGTGCGCTCCAGTGATAATCTAGGTAATAATGCGAAAATTTAAGTTGAAAAAAATATTTTTTAGTGAAATTTTAAGAGAAAAAATAGCCTGAATAGGCTCGGGATTCTGCGCTCCAAGGATAGTTTCCTACAGAAATGTGTTTTTGCTGAATTTTTGTAAGGAAATCCCGACTTTTTTGGTTTTTCACAGTTTTAAAGCATTTAGGGTTCAATTTTGTCTGAGAAAAAAAAAGTTCCCAGTCGATCTACGGGAAAAAATAGCCGGAATATATAAATGATTCTGCGCTCTACGGATAATTCTTGCAGGATTCGGTTTTCTATTAGATTTTTGTATGTAAAAGCTGATTGCTCTAATTACAAAGTGAAAAAATAGACTTGAACGTAATCTTCAAGAGAAATTTTGCTGAAAAAATAGCCTGAAGGGGGGTCAGAGAATGTGCGCTCCAAGGATAAATCCTGCAGAAATGTGCTTTTGTTGAGTTTTTTGCCCTGAATACTTGTTTTCTAGTCTAAAAAAAGGATTGGAATCATTTTTTCAAGCGCTTTCTTAATTCGTACATTTCTCAAGGGTTTTTAGCTCATTTTTTGCCTCAAAATATGGAAAAAATGATAAATTTTGAAAAAAAAACTCATAGAGCTATTCCAAGTGCGACCATTCGAAAATCTATTTTTTTTTTTCAGGCGCCGCTTTTCACTACAACCAAAGTTTGCCCTTCCACGCCCTCCATCAGGAAGTTATTTTCAAAGGTTTTCTAATTTTGCGTAAAAAATTAAATAAGTTTAATTTTAGGTCGACCGTCGAATAACATGTTCTACCTTCCGACAATCATTTCTGAAAATGAATGGGGCGGAGTTTTGATCGGGAATTATTGTATCTCTTCGAGACTCCATGTTGAGCCGAAAGTAGGATTTTCCAGAAAAAGAAGCTCAAAAATCAAAATTACTGGGGGAATTTCTAGTAGCCAGTTTAGGGATTTCAGCTAGTGGCCTCTTTAGGGTAGCATGATAGTAGCTATAGAGACAGAGAACACTTTAGTGGCCCCTTGAGAGGCTCCTCAAGGATTTCTTGGAGAGGACACTCAAGTGGCCACTAGACCCACCTCTATAAAAGCCACTATTTTCCGTTTTAGTGGCCACTTCAGTAGTTTTCCATCCAGTATTCCTTCCAGTAACTCTGATAATTTTAAAACAAACAGATTGGACCAGTTATGTCGATTCATTGACCCCTCAAGTGGCCACTAAAGTGGTTTAGTAGTAGCACTTGGACTTCTATAGTAACCACTACTGTTTAACCCCTTAAGTGGCCTCTAATTTGAATACTGCAATAGCCACTGAAACTTTAAAACCCTAAAGAGGCCAATAAAAATTTTGCCCAAGAAATCGAGAATAATGACTAAAAAATCTTCAGCCTCTGTCAAGATTAGGAACGCCAGAGAGATTCCTATAGGGGACAAAAAAGTGCCCCCTGTAGGGGTAAAGTTTAGGAGGACCCTGAGGGGTTTAGAAGTCTGATCAAGTGGGCCTTTCATTTTTGATCAGATTTGAAGATCAAAAAGACGAAGCCAATACATTTTTTTTCTTTTAATCCACTTTTCAGTCAAATATCTCTACTTAGTGTGTCAATAATGCTCCATGGATAAAGTCGTGTTTTTTGGTCCCATTTTTCAATACTTTGAGATTTTCACATGTAACTTATATACAGAAAAAACGGTTCTTTATACTTTTGAATTTTTATTTTCCATTTATCGGCTCCTATCTTTTTTCTCTCGGATCGAACTTCATTCTGAACCTTAAGGTCCTAATAAGTTGGGTCGAATTTGTCCACAACCGTTACCACCCGGCCTTGGAAGTATTTTCGTGCCAGGACCGAAATGTGGCCAGAACCTATGTCGATGTTACTGGGAATCGAGTGGAAGGTAAAAAAGGAAATCATCAAGAATAACCAAGTGCGCTCCATTGAGAATTGTCTATAGAACTTTTAAAATGGGTAACTTCGCTCCGATGAGAATTTTTATTATTTTTTTGCCTTCACAAAAGCCAAGTGCGCTCCATTGAGGACTGTCTATAGTGTTTCTGAAATAGGAAAGTGCGTACCACTGAGAATCGATTATAATATTTAAAATTAAACAAGTGCGCTCCAATGATAAATTTTTTAGTTGTGTCTTTATAATAGCCAATTGCTCTCCATTGAGAATTTTTCTCCTAAATTTGTCATTTTTTTAATGAACTTTGAGCGAAAAAAAGACGGCTTGAAAAAAAAATCAGAAAAGTGCGCTCCAGTGAACACTTTTTTTCAAAAAAATGATTATTGAAGATTTTAGAAGCTTTTTCATTGACGAAGAATGAATAAGATTATTTTTATTTTTATTTTTTCAAAGTTGAATCATTTATTTTTCAGGAAACCTGGGTTACGGTATGAGAATCGCTCCGGCTGTCAATATTTTGGCCGTGATTTCTAGCAATCAATTTTTGAACAATAATGACACCGCCTTGTACATTCGCAACGCCCAATGGCCACAGTTGGGAAATTTACCGGCTAACGTTGGTTATTATCCGATAACATGAGCAATGAAGTGAAATTCAAGGTTACGATATCGAAAAACGCGTTCAAATTCAACCATGCCAAGTATATCATATCGATTGGGTTGAATGAAGGTTCTCCGAGGCAATTTCTGACTTTTAATCAGCAGAATGAGGTGATTGAAATTTACAGCGGAAATCTGTAAAATGCGGCCTTTTTTTGATTTTTGATTTTTCAACAGTTTCTAAAAATACGCATGGTAAATGTTCTGAAAAGCGAAAAAATTTGATTTTCTTTTAACTTTTCGAAAAATTCTGACCTGTCTGCGCTCTCTCTTCTCTCACTCGTGAGGGCAACACATAGAAACGTCAGAGTGGCCCCTAGAGGGGTCAGGAAAAGGAAAAGCCCTCGTAGTGGACAAAAAAAAGCCCCTAGGTGGTCTTTATAGGGTTACAGAGTCTTACCCCAGAGCCCCTAAAGCTCAAGTGGTCCCTGTAGTGGTCTCGTGATTTTTTTTTCCTCTTTGAAAAGACGTGTATGGGCCGCTAGCATGCTGACGCTCTTTGAAAACTCAACGGCCCCTTTAGGGGCTGTCAAAGTGGCCCCTACAGGGGTACCTTCAAAACCCACAGCCCCTATAGGGGCCACTCTGAAGTTCCTAAGTAGAAACGGAAATAGCATTGCTTAGGGAGAAGAGAGCACAGAGAAGACATATGGTTCCAAATTTTTGTGTTTTTTACACCGCCAGAATCCAAAAAATCGACAAAAAGCCAACGTTTAGATACGCGCCAATACCGTATTCGATCCATTCCCGGATTTGCCGCCTAGGAGTACTCCCTATGCCGCGATGGTCGTTTCCAGCAGGTAATATTGGGAATTTCACGTGTTTTTATGATTGATAAGATATCCGAGGTGAAAATCGAGAATCTGGTATAAAATTTTGCTCCAAAAAGTGCGGGGTAGTCGAAGTTTTGCAGAGAAAAATCGAAATTATGCAGAAATTGACGAATTTGGCAGAAAATGTCAATTTTTCGAAGGAAAAAGTCGAAATTTCGCTGAAAAAGGTTGTAAATTTGCAGAAAGTAGTCGAAAGTTCGAGGAAACTAGTTGAAATTCTGCAGAAATCTTTTGGCCCCGAAAATCTTGAAAAAAAAGGCGGGTTTCGACTTTTTAAAGAGCCCGATTCGGCTTATTGTATAAAAAATTGTCTTTTTTGAGCATCTTTCATAGGATTTTTCACAGAAATTTGGATCAAAGCGACGGTTTTCGAATAAAAAAAGCTTTCGACCCCTTTGTCTACTCTTTTTCAGGTACCTAATGAGGTTGGCAGATAAACTTTATTTCTTTGGGCAATCTTTTTCTGGATTTTTTGCAAAAATTATCAAAAATGCGTTTTCTATTTTTCTAGTGATGAATTTTGCTTCCAGTAACGTGAAGATCCATCGGAACTGCTTCAAAAACGAAAGAGCCAAGTATGAAATCGCCACCGAGTTACAAGAACACGCGAAATGGATCGATGCGCGGGAAAACAACTGGGGATCGCCCATCGTTGGACAGTTCATCGACAAGATTTTCGATCAGGTAAGAGGTTTTTTGAGAATCTGGGGACAGGGGAATTGTAGAAATAAGAGATTTAAATGAACGGTAAAGTTTGGATCAATACATCTCACTTACCATTAGTCATAGCTCTAATCGACTAGGCGAGAAAGTTTGAAGCTATTACGAACAACCGCCTTTGGCGAACTAGAAGTCGAATCGTGTAGTTGATCAAATTGAATCAAGAAGACGAATCGTGTAGTTGATCAGGTTGAGTCAAGAATTTCAATCGTGTAGTTGATCAGGTTGAGTCAAGAATTTCAAACGTGTAGTTGATCAAGTTGAAAGAAGGGTTTTACGGCCCTCCGCCTCGTTCTCCTGCGCGTAGTCGATTCAATGACTTCTCAGCGAGCTCATAATGTAGCGGATGCTATAGCCGAAGCCCGGAGACCGTCCTGGCTTCACACGGAATTCAGAGGCAGAAAAATAGAATATCATAGTTTTATACTCTTGGTACAATCGTTGGTTCTGCGATAATTTTCTTTGACTCCATTTGGTAGATTTCATGAATTCATCCAGTTTATCTGATATCAAGTAGAAAAACTTCAGTTCTACCGCTACTCCCTGGCCACCATCGACATCGATCCCTTCATGGCGGTGTGCAACCAACGCGTTCCTCATATCACCCCACAAAACGAAGTTTTTCGTCAATTTCGCAAAGATTCTCAGTCAAACACTCTTGGTGGTATCATCTATGAAAATCACGATCTGCTCAAGGGCCGGTTCGTACGGAAAAATTGACATTATGACGTCATTTTTGAAGGTATACGGTAACGGACGACCTTCAAATTGTCCCTGGAGCAAAGTTGACCATCGGGTCGGGATCCGTTTTGGAGTTTCAGTTTGGCGTCGGAATGTTGGTTCAGGTAAGGTGAATTTCGATCGTGACGTCATAAATTTGTTATCATGACGTCATAGTGACTTTTAGAGAATCCTGATTGTGACGTTATAGTGACTTTTAAAGAATTCTGAGTGTGACGTCATGAATTTGTTAATATGACGTCATAGTTACTTTCAGAGAATCCTGATTGTGACGTCATAAATTTGTTATTATGACGTCATTTTTCTTCGGAACCAGATCGAAATATAGCCTTTTTATAGCTGTTTCATATTGCTCATAAGCCAGGGCTCAGAAAATAAAATTCAGGGCGAATTGACGCGAAATGAATTCGAAAGCGATGAGAGGGTGGTTTTCACAAGTGCTCCATTCACACTGGAAAGTCGGCCGAATATTCGACTAATCAATGATGATGGAAACGCGGCGGTGACTGAAGGACGATTGGAGGTATAAAGTTGAGATCACCAAAAATGGATCTTTTTAAAAATCCAAATGATTTTTAATATCAAGATAGTAGGTTCTTTACTGAACAAGCCGAAAAAAAAGCGCAAGACTTCGACCTTCCAACACCTGATACTGAAAGATGCCAGCATGCGCAAGTAGTTTTTGGTCGGACGCAAGAAAAAAGAAATAATCACTTTCGCAGTTATTCATATTTTCCTCACGACCTAGGGCGCTTGAAGTCGGGGAAATCTTGAATATGATAAAAATTTGAAAATAAGAAGGTTTTGAAGCGGCCACATCGTAGATGCGCAAGTAGTTTCTGGTCGGGCGCGCTGAAAAAGATGAAAAATGTAATGAGCCGTTTTTCTCACGATTTAGGGCGTTTCAAGTCGGTAAAATGAATTTTGAAATTTGAAAATATTATTTCGAGTGCCTATAAAATGACCACCCAGTGTCGCGCAAGTAGTTTCAGGTCGGGCGCGCTGAAAAAGACGAAAAAATTGCTCTTTTTGAGCCCTTAGTGAGTTTTTACTGATGGGAAAGGAGAAAATGTTCTATAGTTTTTTACTTTCGAGTGTCATGAAAATTCCTATTAACTAACCGTTTCGCAAGCGCAATTCGTTGAGCCATTCCAAATGCGACCACCATCATCTTTAATTTTTCCAGGTGTTCATAGATGACCAATGGGGAACCGTCTGCAATCGTTCCTGGACCGCTTTCCACACAGTTTTGGCCTGCAACCAACTTGGACTCATAGCGGATGTTCAATTTTTCGAAAATTGGCGCATTTTCCCGTCCAAGGGGGATTTGCCCATGATTGTCGATAATATCCGCTGTGAGGAGACTGAAGTTGACATCACGAAATGTCGACATGATGGAGTGAGACACAACGCCGGGGCTGGATGTCGTCCGACCGAAGTTGTTGGTGAGGGTTTTTGGGTTTTTGAGGGCTCAAAAATTCGAAAAATGAGAAACATCAAGTATAGTCCATTCCTGCTCGTCTCTCTGCGCCCTCTCATTTTGGCTTGCTATTTTCATGTTTCTCTGACTGGTGAGGGAACAAAGAGACGCAGACTCTCGAAAACGGGGGTTTCTCTGCACCCTCTCATGTTGACGTGATGTTTCCATTTTTTTTTTCTGACCCTGGCGGTGGGAGAAGAGAGACGCAGACACCCAAAAATTCCCAAAAGCGGGAATTCTCTGCGCCCTCTCATTTTGACGTGCTATTTCCATTTTTCTCTGACCGGTGAGAGAACGTAGAGACGCAGACAGTAAAAAAGATTTGGCGAATTAATTTTTCCGAAAATCTCTAGACCTCATTCAACACTGAAAAAAAGGTTCCAAAATGTCCGAAAAAAATTTAAAATTTTTTTAACTGGCCATAAATTGGGCTTATGTGCGCCCTGCGGATAATTTTTTTATGATTCGACCCTTTTTTTCTGAAAAATTTTTTTATTCATTTTGTACTCCCTGTCGCAAATTATTGATCAAGATTTTTAGACCGAATTCTAAAAAAAGTTTAAAAAAATCGCGTATTTTTTTGTTGATTTTAGAGATTGAGCTCATCTGCGCTCTATGGATAATAAAAAGTTTATTCAGAACTTTACGGTTTCAAATTGAATTATTAAGTCAAAAAAATTTTTGAAATCGATTAATCATTGTATGTTTGAATGACACTAGTCTTTATCAGAGAATTGCCCATCAAACAGCAATTTTCAGGCCTGCGTTGTCTGGAGCCTCGTTGGGCGGGTGTACGGTATTCTCTACTGGCCAATCCGCCTACAGTAACCGGCCAAACTACGATGGACAATTGGCTGATCGAAAAAGGAGGCCTCTACAATTTCCGGACCTCGGAATTCTGCTCGGCTTTCCAAATTGATTGGAATTATCATACGTTCCATCGGCTGGAAGTTAAGGTATGGTTGGGCTGAAAAAGCTAGAAAAGTGGTCACTTGAGGGTTTTGAGACTTACAGTTGGGATAGCGTTAGAAAAAGGTTCTGGAAGCTCTTCTCTAGTGACCACTTGAGAGGTAGGCTTTGAAAGGGATCCTCCTGACAAGATTTCGTTAGAAAACGACCCAGATATCAGGGTGATCATTCTAGTGACCACTTGAGGGGTCTCATAAGAAAAAAATGACTCTCTTGAGTGGCCATTTGAGAACAGGGCTGCCAAAAAGGCTAGTTTATATTTTTAAAAAAATTGGGAAGCTTTTAAGTGGCCTCTTAAGGGAAAATGGTTCTAAAAACGGATAAGTGGTAACTTAAGTGAATGTTCAACTGTCACTGCGGTTTCATTTAAATAAAAATCGAGAAAGTAATTTTTAAAATGTTTCTCTGAGTGACCACTTGAGGGCTTTTCAATATCCTTGACATCTTTGAAGAATTCTAGGGGCCACTTAAGAGCTTCCACAAGGGCTACTTGGAGAGGAGGCTAAAGTGGCCACTAGTTTGCTTCTAAGTGACCACTGAAGGACTTTCAATGGTCTAGTCTAGTAGTACTCCCTAGTGCTCTAATGGCCCCTTAAACTCTTAAGTGGCCACTAAATCGACTACACTAAATCGACTACTATATTGAACCAGAGGAAGTCGCTTCCAGGAATAAAATGTCTACTTTGCTCAAAATTTTTTCTAGAACAATTTCTGGGACGGAATCGATGTCATCTACAACGACCTGATCAAAAAGCCGGCCATTAGGAAAAGCTGGATCACGAATAACAGAAGGAATGGCCTGCATCTTAGATCTGCAGGCATTACTGTAGAAAATGTGGGTTTCCAGGCCCTCTGAGACTTTTTTCTCATTGGAGCGAATAAGGTCTTTTTCGAAGGAATTTTCGCGGCTATTTTTTGTTTCCTCAGGAAAGTGTGCTTTTTCAGGTTACGATAAACTACAGTGGTCAGTCGGGCATACGGTACAATCCGTCGATCAGCGCCCTAACCCAAAAAGATATTGTCTCTTGGCTGGAACTGAGAGAACAGCCCGAACAGGAGGCCAATAACATTTTCCATATCCCCAAAAATGGCCTGGATCATATCGAAGTGATTTATTGATTTTTATTGATTAATTGATTTTTTCTCAAGGTCCTGGAGAGCAGTTTGAACCAGAGGAAGTTCCTGGTGGCCAAGGAGACTGAGGACTGTCCGGCAGGTAGGAGAAACCGGAGGTGTTGAAATAGGTCAGATTATAGGTGATACCTGTGATTATCACCTGAGAATCACGGCCACTGGATATGAGTACGGACTCCAGGCCAAATTGGCGATTCAGGTCGGTTCTTGACGAGAAAGCTCGCATGGGGAATGGCTGAAAGTAGGAATGTTAGAAAGATGCGCCCGACCGCGAAACGGCTTGCGCTAGGCGTTATTAACGCGGAATGGACGTTTCTGAATCGCTTTAGTGATCACTTGATACGCTAGCCGGCATCTCAGGCACTAGAAACGAACTTTTCGAGGTCACTTTAGTGATAACTTGATTTCTTGAACAGGTGTGCCCGACCGCGGAACGGCTTACGCTCGCCGGCTTTTTAAACATTGATAACGCGACACAGACACTTCTGAGCCACTGTAGTGATCACTTGATCGCTCTGACGTTGCTAAATTGACCATGAAACGGTTCAAAAACGTCTAGTAAAATTGAGTGTCTGAATTGAGCCGCAGAACGACGGCGACGCAGTGATCCATTCCAAATGCGACCACTGAATCTTGATCTTGATTAGCATAGACTCCCACCCAGGATAATCTGCAGACTCGAGATAAATCAGGAAAACTCTGCTCTTGACAAGAAAGGTCGCATGGGAAATGGCTGACAGTTTAGTTTTGAGTAGGGATGTTAGGAAGATGAACCCGACCGCGAAACGACTTGCGCTAGTCGGCTTCTTATTCATTGATAACACGAGACGGCGCTTCCTGGACCACTTCAGTGATCACTCGACAGCTCTGAAGTTGCTAAAGTAACCGCTCAAAGGTTCAAAAACATCCAGTCATGTTAACAGTGTCCGACTGAAGCCGCACCGCGACCGCGACGCAGCGAACCATTCCAAGGGAGATCATAAGTCCTCGACTTTGATGAAGCTCTTAGATACAAACGTCACAAGAAGAATGACCCTGGCTAGTAAAAAATGAGTTTGAAGATCATAATGTCATTTTTTTCCACTTGTCAAGCGCCATTTTGAAGAAAAGTTCGAAAAAATAAACTCATTTCTGAGCAAAGTTGCTCTATCGGTTAAGTAACCTTCAAGGCTCTGCGGTACTAGAAAAAAGCCGTCGACCGCTAAACGACTCGCTCTAGCCGATATTTTTGGTCTCTAGCCTTTTTTTTTGAGCCATTCCAAGTGCGGCCTTAATATTTATTAGTCCATTTACAATTAATGTCATTTTTCAACCTTTAGATTGTAAATCCGGCTTCGAATATTTCCGACGAAGATGCGATTTTTACCGATTCGGCGACTGGGAAGTCGTGGAGCGCCAGGAAGGATCATATCTATGTGAGTTTTTGGGGAAATCGACGGGTATGTCCCCTAGAGAGGCCACTTTTGCAAGCTTTACCCCCTTTTAAGGGCCCTTAAGGTTGCCCCTTAAGGGACCACTCTGGAGTTCTTGCACAAAAAAAAAAGAAAATTGACTAGCATGCACCCTAGAGAGGCCACTTTTGCAAGCTTCAGTGGCCCCTAGAGAAGAACCTTCAAGGCCCAAAAAGGTTGCCCCTTCAGGGACCACTCTGGGGTTTTAAAGAGACTTTTTACTCATTTTTTCATAATTAATTCGAATTCTTATGTTTGTTTATTCAATTTTTCCATTTGAAAACTCCGAAAAAGTGATTTTTTCAAAAATTCAAATTGACTCGAAAAAAAAAGACATCACTACTTTTCAGTCTTAAACTTGAACATAAATGGAAAATTTTCAAATTTTTTTAGAAAATTGAGCACTAGTCTAGGATTTTCAATAATTTAACCTTAAGAAAAATGGGGAAAATCTCATTTTTCAGTTGCTTTCAGTTGTTTTAATCGAAAAAACTGTTTTTCAATCCTAATTTCGAACAAAATTGAATTTTTTTCATTTCTTTATGAGTAAAAGTCTAGCTTTTCCACCCTTTTGTCCTTAAGATACATATTTTTCAGTTCCCCGTGGTCTCGCATTCAAACGAGATCCGAATGCACTACAAAAGATCCTACGGCCGGCCAAAACTCATCATTTTGGTCCTGTTTTTGGATGGTTTTTTAGAAAAATCTTCATATTTCGATATTTTCCTTCAGCCCAAGAGTACCTCGACCGTTTCGTCCACATCTATCAGTCGAAAATCGAAGACAATCAGTACGGATTCTCCGCTTCTCACTACAGTAACCTCACATTCGACGATGGAACTCTGTCGAATCGGTGGAACAATGAGAAATTGTGGATTCAGAAGGTCGAAAAATAAATTTTCTGCTGAAAAATTGGTTTTTCAGGTGAATTTCACCCGGAATTCGGAAGCCGTCATGTGGATCCACTCGCCTCAACATGCAGTTTTACCGAATACCCCTATTGCTCAGGTTAGAGGGGGAAAAAGGCGTTTTTTCAGGGTTAAAATCAATGAAAAATGAAGCTTTTCACTTGAAATTGACCATAAATTAAACAATTTTGAAAAAAAGGAGATTTAATACTCCCTTGAAGTACGTTTCAGTATATCATTAAAAAGTAGCCCGTATTCAAATTTCTGATCCATGGCGGAAATTGAAAAAATCTACTTTATTCGCCCAAAATCGTTCTCAAAATGGAATTTCGCTCCGAATAATGTCCCATTTGCCAAAAAATAAGAAAATCGAACCGACCCCCATTAGAATAGTGTCCCCGCGTGAGGAGGGTACTTGTGGGCATCGGGGCGCTTGCACTCTCGGCCCACTTAGTATAGTGGTTAGTACTCCACGTTGTGGCCGTGGCGACGCAGGTTCGATTCCTGCAGTGGGCAATGTTTTTGCAAATTTGTTTTGCTGATGAGTGATGAAGATTGTAGGGCTTTATAAAGTTTTTGAAGGTGAAGGGATCACTTTAGGGATTTTGGAAATGATTATTTTTCAGTTTTTGTTTGAAATTCACCGTTTTCATGCAGTTATTTAGATTTTCTCATTAATGAAACTTGATATTCCCTTTGAAATTCTTCTTATTATGTTCAGTATAAGTACTATTTAGGTTTTTAAAATGAATTTGAGGGGTTTCAAAGATAAAGAGCATGTTTTGGTTTCTATTTGACCGATTCCGTTGGCTTTATACTGATTTTTGACTTTTTCACGCTTTTTCGATAGATTTTTGCGGTTTTCAGTAAGTTTTTTCTATTTTTGATTAACTTTTTCTTACATAAAATCCATGGTTATGAAATATAGAGCAGCAATGATCTTTTTTGGGACTTTCATAACAGTTTTTTTCAGTCGGATTTTTCGACGAGAAAAAAATTTTTTTGAAAAATGAAAAAAATTTCATCTTTTTCAAAAACATTTTGAGGTTCTTTTTCAGATAACCTACCATTTCGACAACTGCTCCGTTATCAACAATACCGGGCCAATTATTGAATCGCATCGGGACCTTTACGCGTCGGCCAACGTCTTCCACTGGATCATTTGGTCGAGCACGTTTGCCAACAATACGAATTCTGGCCTGGCCGTCGCCCTGCCGGACACCGTCGATTTGTTGGCCAGACAGCAGCATTCCTTCTTTGTTAGTTGTGAATTTGGAAAAAAAAAACGACATCTATAGGGAACGTCAGAGTGGTCCCTGAAGGGTTTAACAGCCCTTATGTTGGACAAAATAGTGCTCCTTAAAGGGCTAAAGTTTAGGTAGTCATTATAGGGTTTTATGGTCTATCCCTAGGCCTATATAACTTGAGTGGTCCCAATAGGGGTCTTCAAATTTTTGACACGATTTGAAAATTTAAAAAAAAAACGTATTCAATGAAAGTTTATCGATTAGTTTTTTGTCAAAAATCGCTAATTTATTGAGCTTTTCGCTCGAAAAATGCTTCTTCTCATAGATAGTCCACAAGACTCCCCTAGAGTGGCCACTTTTGAGCCCTCTGAAAAAGGAAAGTGGTCCCTTGAGGGGAACCTTCGAACGCTCATAAAGTTGAACTTCTCAGGACCACTCGGGCGCTCCTAAGTGGTAGTACTGGAAATGAAAACCCTAAAAAATCTTAGTTTTCAAATTCTCAATTCGAAAAGAAAAGTCATCATTTCAATCCGAACCGATTCCCATAACTAGAAACTCGGAAACGCATTATTTTTTTATGGAAAATCGGTTCAGAGAAGAAAAAATGGCCGGAGCCCTTTTTAACATCTGCGCTCTATGGATAATTATCTTGCACGGTTTTTGTCAGATCTTTTTTTTAACAAGAATCCAAAACTATCAATGGAGCGCACATTATTCAGTTTCTTGTATCTATTTTTTCTCAAAAAGGGTTTCTAAGAAAAAAAAAAGGTCAACATTTTGAGATTTTGCGCTCTATGGATAATAGTCTAGCGAAGTTATTATCAGCTCTGATTTTCGTACAAAAATCGAAATTAGCCGTGGAGTGCACAATATTTAGTTGTTCGCAGCTATTTTTATCTCAAGGACTTCTTAAAAAGTTTTTTTGATTTTTTTATTTGATGACGAAATAACGATTATAATTTAAAAAAATCTCAATGTACAGACGTACTATGAGGCTTAAAATATGAATTTTCATCTTCAGATGACGGAAAATCGATTCGAAGGAAATGAAGGCTTCCGTGTACTACTTGACGGCTACTACGCTTTTGTGAACATGTCCTCGAATAATTTCACCGATAACTGGGCTCCGAAAAGATTCGGAATGGTGGAACTGCGTGGAATGGAGAAACAAATGTACATCGAGAGAAATCGATTTTTCAACAATTGGGTGAGTTTTTGACCCACAAGGGGTCATTTTACTTGGAAATTTTCTGAAACTTGGCCGAAATATTCTTTGACGTCCCAGAGGAAGGTCCTGAAAGTCCCAACTTTCAATCATTTGTCATTTTTAAGAAATGAAACCTGCAAAGTTTCATATAGTCCTAGTTAGCGCTAGAGCGCAGATTCCTAGAGCAACGAAAAAAAAAACGCCTCAAGTTGGAAATTTTGTGATTTTGATGGATTTTGACGGGTTTTCCTTGGTCTTCAACCTTAAAAAATGGTTTTCGAGAAAATATATTTTTTTAGATTTTTAGATTTTATAGTTTTCCATTGGTTTTCAACCTTAAAAGACAGTTTTTTAATAAAATTTCATTTTTTTTTTTATCAATTTAATGTTGTTTTAACAATACTTTTAGCAGTAGAGCGCGGTTTCACAAGAGCAAAAATTGAGAAAAAAACGCCTCAAGTTGGAAATTTTGTGATTTTAATAGATTTCGATGAGTTTTTCCATTGGTTTTCAACGTTAAAAAAATAGTTTTCAAGAAAAATCCTTTTTTTCGATTTTTTTAGAGGTTTCCCATTGGTTTTCAACTTTAAAAGACAGTTTTTTTAATAAAATTTCATTTTTTTATCAATTTAATGTAGTCCTGATAATACTTTTAGCGGTAGAGCGCGGTTTCTCAAGAGAAAAACTGAGAAAAAAAAACGGCTCAAACTTTCAGAAAATCGTAAAAAATGACCTCCCTTTCTGAAACAAAACTTGAAAAATGTCAAAATTGCAGGGCCATTGGATGATCAAACTAGATATAATGTCCCAATATCTGAAGATGTTGCACGTTCCAGCCTTCATTCAATACAATTACATAGAACACAATCATTTTATCAAGGTAGAAATCCTCATTATTGCTCATATTAGCTCATATTTGCAGCCGAAAAGCGACTACGTCGACATGTGGCCCCGGTCCTATGCTGTTGGAGTTTTCGGAGCTCAGAAAATCGATATTCATTTCAATCGATTCAAAAATTTGTTGATCGATTTTGAGCTGGTTTCGGGATGCAAGGTGGGTACGGCAATAGATATTTTTGCCCGGAAAGAGGTTTTTTAATTTTAAAAAGGCGGTATTGAAGATTTTTTAGTTTCACAGATGGTATCGGGTAGAAAATTCCCAAAGTGTGTCTTAAAAATTAGTTGAGAAAAAACAGCCGCCTTAGGTTGAACTACGGCGCTCCAAGGATAATTTGTCGAAAAGTGCTAATTTTGACTTGTTTTTTTCATTTTTGAAACAGTTTTGCGAAAAATAAACGTTTATCAATAGAGCGCACTAGCTGTGGCTCTTTTTTCCTTAGCTCGGTTCGGACCAATCGAATAATTTTTTTACAAAATGTTCGACAAAAAAAAATTTAGAAGTAAGTCTGAAAAAACAGTTGAGAAAAAACAGCCGCCTCGTTTTGTAATTTTGCGCTCCATGGATAAAAGTGCTCATTTTGAATCCTTAGAACTTTTTGTTTTTTTTGAACCGCTCGATTTCCGGTGGTGCAAATAGGACGCCCCCCGGACGTTTCTGAGATATCCTAGGGATCACTTAAGAGTTCTAAAGCTGCTCAAGTGGCCACTAGAAGTGTCCGATTTTTGTTACCGACATCCGAGCAGACTTTACAAGAAAAATTTCAATTTATCTATTTAGCGCACTTGGTCTGGCTTTTTTTGTCATTTTCACTGATTCCAACAACGATTTTCGTTTCGAAATGCAAAATGAAGGGAAAACACCTCAATTTTTTTTTTCTTTACAGTACACCCAATTCGACGATTCGATGAACGTGACTTTCAACTGGTGGGGCACGGGAAACGAAGCCGAAATCGCCCAGAGGATTTTCGATTTCGACGATTGGAACACTTTTACGTTGGCCCGATTTAGTCCATTTTACGTCACGAATGGACTTTTCATCAACTTCTGGTTCAATCCGTGGAGGGTGAGCGTTGCGGTCGCGCGTCGCGGCTTTTTTCGCGCGAATTTCAAAATTTTGAAGCATTTTTTGGAGCAAAATGTGTTATTTTTCGATTACTTCCTTTTCTGAATTTTTCTGTTAAAAAAAAACTTCCTTCTCTGTGCCCTCCTCGTCTCTCGGCGACCCTCTCACGTTGACGTGCTGTTTTCCTATTTCTATGACCTCGCCGGTGAGGGAACAGAGACGCAGACACGCGAAAACATTCAAGAGGCGGTGAATGGACTATATTAAACCGAACCAAATTTTTCTGCGCTTTTTCACTTTTTGGACGCTTTTTCCCATAATTCACCCTTTCAGGACGGCCAGATAGCCCAGGCCACCTACATCGAACCCAGCGTCTTCGATCTGAAAGGCCGAGTCTACGAATCGAAAAACATGAGCCTGATTGTGGAACGGTGGCATCAGTTTCCGCATTATTATCGGGTAATTTTTCGAATTCTCACCGCTTAGGAACGCCAGAGAGGTCCCTAGAGGGGCTAGGGGAAAAACAGCCCCTCTAGAGTTATTTTGGCCCTACCGTGCTTACCGTATCACTCTTTACAGTAACCTACAGATTTTAGAAACTTCTAGCCCTACTATCCTTACCGTATCATTACGTTACAGTAACCTACAGATTTTCAATAATTATAGCTCTACCGCTCTTATGGTATCACTCTGTTAAAGTAACCCACAGTTTTTCAATCATTCTAGTCTGACCATCCTTACCGTATAAATCTGTTACAGTAACCTGAATATTTTAAATTATTTTAGCCTTAACGCCCTTACCGTATCACTTTGTTACAGTAACCCACAGTTTCCCAGTTTTTTCTTGTCTTACGTTCCTACCGTATCATTATTTTACAGTAACCCACAGTTTTCAAATCGTTTTAGCTCTACCGTCTTAACCGTATCACTTTATTACAGTAACCCACAGTTTTTAAATTGTTTTAGCTTTTCCGTCCTTATCGTATCACTCTGTTACAGTAGCTCACAGTTTTCAAACCATTTCAGCCCTACCGTCCTTGCCGTATCACTTTGTTACAGTAATCTACAGATTTAGAAACTTTTAGTTCTCCTATCCTTACTGTATCATTATCTTACAGTAACCCAGTTTTCAAATAGCTTAAGCCTCACCATCCTCACCGTATGACTTTATTACACGAAACTACAGTTTTCAAATCATTTAGCCCTATCGTCCTTACCGGACCACTTTGTTAGAGTAACCGACAGTTTTTCGATAATATTATCCTTACTATCCCTACCGTAGCATTATTTTACAGTAACCCACAGTTTCCTAATCATTCTAGCCGTAGCCCCTTACCGAATCACTCTGTTACAGTAACCCACTCAACGACCTAATGATTTCAGCCCTACCGTCCTTACCGTATCACTCGTGACGTCACCATAATGCCCGGCGCTACCTTAACCATCGAAGAAGGCGTCGAAGTTCACGTTTGGCCCAACGTCCGCATTTTGGTACTCGGAAATTTGATCGCAGATGGGACCTATTGGCAGCCGATACGGTAGGATACTGTAGCCTATAATTAAATGTGAGGTTTTTTTCAGATTCAAGCCAATAAATACGACGGAATTCGATGAAATCCGTGGCCGGATACCGTCACAGTACAAGAGGAAGCGAAGATTCGTCGATTGGACCATTAAAAGACGGACGGATACTGTAATGAGGCAGGAACGGTTTTTGAGACAGAAGCGGTCTGATAGGTGATTTTTTTGGGGCTTTTTTTCAGGGGGAATTTCTCTTGGCAGAGGCTTTGGTATGGTGACTTTGACAGGAAATCGGATCAGAATAGGGAATTTTTTTCAAATTTTTTTCAGGATGGGAATAAAAAAACTATGCTCGGGGAGGCTTTTGTGTAGGAATTTTGACAGGAAATTGGATCAGAATAGAAATTTTTTTTCAAATTTTTTTGAAAGAGAAATAAAAAAATTCTGCTTGGGAAAGGCTTTTTGTGTAGAAATTTTGAATGGAAATCGGATCAGAATAGAAATTTTTTTCCAAATTTTTTTAGGAGGGGAATAAAAAATTATGCTTGGGAGAGGTTTTGTGTAGGAATTTTGAAAGGAAATGGGGTCACTTTTAAAAAAAAATTTCCATTTTTTGAATAAATTTTTTATGAAGTAGAGGGCCAGAGTGACCTCTGTAGGGGACAAAAATTGCTCCCTATAGGGGTGAAGTTTAAGTGGTCCCTATAGGGGTTAAAGATCGGACCCTCAAGCTCCTATAGGGGCCACTTTGGCGAGCTTTAGTGGCTCTTTTTGAGGGAGGTGAAGTGGTCCCTAGAGGGGTACTTTCAAGGGCCCTATAGGGACCACTATGGCGTTTTTGAGGAAAGGGTCCTTTAGGGGTTCTCCTAGAGAATAAACAAGTTTAAAAAATCAGATTTTTCTTTCTTTCTCCTAATTTTCCGTCATTGAAAATATTATTTTTTCATTTATTTTACTAAATTTGAGTTCAAAAGATGCTAAGAAATAGGATTATTATTACAGATCCCGACAAGACCAAGTCTACAAAGAGTTCCCGACGCTTTTCCGGGACGACCCGTATTATCAGCGATTTTCGGTGTCCCTGAACAGAAATGGGTCCGAAATTGGAAGAAGCGGCTTCCTGGAGATTTACAATGCGACAACTGGGGAATTAGTCCCGTCGTGTGACCGGCAATTCACTATCAGGAATGCACAGGTACAGCTTGAAATCGAAGTTTTCAGAGTTTTTACGAGTCATTTTTTAGCCCCCAAAAGCGTCATTTTTCAATCATAGAGCTGTGAAAAACAAGTTTTTGTAGATTTTTTTCCTTAAAAACCATCATTTTTGAGCTGAAGGGTCTTTGAAACAAAAATTTTGTGCATTCTTTACCTTAAGAAACATCATTTTTAGTTGAATGACCACTCGTTATTTTCTGGCTCTGTTGCCAATTGAAACATCATTTTTTGAATTGGATAACCAGTAAGAAACGAGTTTTTTCCAAGTTTTTCTGAAAAGGCGCCGTTTTTGCGTTGGAGGGCCAGTAAAAATTGGTTTTTGAGATGGAAATGCAATATTTGAAGACCTTTTCGTACAATTTCAAGTAGGAAATGAGAAGCTCTACAAGATGAAATTGAGGTTTCATAACTCGTTTTTTACTAAGCCGTTTAGCTTGGATTTTGATACGCATTCCGCAGTTCTCGATCAGATCTTTTTTTAAGTGTTCAATCAGAATTCTCTAGGTGGTTTGTCGAGAGCTGGGGCTCGAGACAATGAACGCCTATCATTGGATGACCCCCCGATGGGACTATAATCCCAGAGTCCGACTCGTCAAGACTTATATGGAACCCAGGGAGTGTCGGGGCGATGAGCCCAGCTTGGATCGGTAAATTTTGAAGTTTCCCTAGGATTCATTCCATTCTCCTCTTAGGAAAAACTTCTTAAAATTGAGCCAGAATGCTTGAATTTTGATGAAAATGTGGTTTTTTTATCGTCTTCAATTTTTTTGTCATTTTTTTACAATTTTTTTCAGTAAAATATTGTAGAAAGTCATATTTTTTTCACGTTTTTTTCCGTCATTTACGAAATAAATTATTAAAGTAATTTACTCAAAAATTAAAAATTTGGATTTTTCCATATGGCCCAGTTTCCTCTCGTATTGCCTTGAAATGTCATTAAAATGTGATTTTTCCGATCTCAATTTTTGAATTTTATGGTTTTTTCGGAAATTTCGCAGCTTTGTGAAATACCATCGACATTATTTTACAGAAGAAAATGTTAAGAATCATGTATTTTTTCCACCAGCCAAAAAAACTGTCCGCACTTTACAGATGTGACCTCCGTCTGTCGGGAAACCGGGACCAGTGGCAGTGTAACGATAATGAGCACTTTAATTATATTTATTGTGGGTCGAATCGATCTTTGAGCAGGTGATTTATTGATTAGAAAGAGATTTTATCAATAATTATCAGAGAATATATCGGAAATTGGGGCGGAATCACCTTCGCCGAAGGGCATTTGGAGCTGCAGCCGTCGAGTTTGAAAGGTGAATTTTGGGGTTTTTTGAAAATCTAGGGAAAAAATTGGGGTTTTTTGAAATTTAGGTGATAAAATTTGATTTTTTGAAGTTATTGTCAAATATTGCTTTTTTTTTTTAAAGGCTCGAATCAAAAATTAGGGTTTTTGGAATTCGGGTCAGAAAAGGGTTTTTTCAAGTTCAGGTGGAAAAAAGATGAGTGCAAAATTTTTTTCTATAACTATGTTAGAGAGCGTGAAAATTTGAGAGAGATTAGAGAAAAAGAGATTTTTTTAACTTTTTAAACTTTTTTTATTTAATTTTACATTTTTTTCATTACAAAGACAAAAATATCGGATTTTCGATATTTTTTTAGCGGAAGTTAGAGAGCATGAGAATTTGAGAGAGGGTAGAGAAAAACAGACAAATTTCGAATTTCTGGCGCTTTTTTTCTTCCCCTTGTCATGTACTATAGAAAAAAAATTTTTTCGATTTTTTTTTTTTAAATTAGATAAAGTATGGTTTTCGGAGAAACGCAGAGAAACGATAGAGATTTTAATCTTCTGAGATGTTTCTTACTACTTTATGAGACAGTTTGGGATTCTCAGAGACATTAGAGAAAATGAGTCATTTTGAGTTTCCTTTGGGATTTTTCTGATTTATACATTTTCGGGGGTATGAAAACATAATTAGCGAAATTTGCGTTGGCGAACTTATCGAAGACCGCAAAATTGCGGGCGGTGTATGCCACCGTGTATGCATACTGTTTGCGCAAAAATCAATAAACACCTTTCCGACGGAACTTTTTTTCCGACTTTTTTTGCCTTTTTTTCATATTTTTTTGGATTTCGTCACTCATTTTTTTGTTTTTTCTGTTCTTTCATCTTTTTCCATCGCATTATGATCCTTGTATCGGAAAAAAAGACCTCAATTTTTTTGTTTGAAGCAAAAAAATTTTTTGGAATAATTTTTCGTCGTGATGGCTGTTGGAACATTGTTTATAACAGTTTTTTTTCTGCGTTTCAATTACAGAATGAGTGAAGAAGAAAGAGCTATGAGAGAAACATTGGATGACATGCTTGATTACTTGAGTGACACTGATTCCTACAAATCTGTAAATTATTGTTTTTCGTTTCGGGCAACATCAAAAAAATTTCCTATATCTTTCACATTCTTCTCGTGTCATTTCTTATTTTTCCAATTTCTTGTTTTATTTCATTTTATTTCACCATAGTCCATAAATTTGTTGTTTCCAAATCTTTTTTTTTCATTGAAATTGTTTCCTATCGGATAAATATATTGTTATCGAGAAAAATTAGGAACAATGCGTACCAGAGGATCATAATGCGATGGAAAAGATGAAATAACAGAAAAAACCGAAAAAAAATGAGTGACGAAATCCAAAAATTTGAAAAAAGAGGCAAAAAAAAAGTCGGAAAAAGTTCCGTCGGAAAGGTGTTTATTGATTTTTGCGCGAACAGTATGCATACACGGTGGCATACACCGCCCGCGATTTCGCGGTCTTCGATAAGTTCGCCAACGCAAATTTCGCTAATCTTGTTTTTATACCCCCACATTTTCGATGGAATGATTGAGATTTTGTTAATTATGTACCTGTTCATTACCAATTATCAGGTAGATTTCGATAATTTTCAGAAGGTTCGGTCCTCCGGAACGTCGAAATCGTGGGCGGCGGGTCTGGCCATAACGATTCTTGGCAATCCGCCGGCTTGCAACTTTTCCATCGATCTCCAATCATTGATCATGTTAACGTGACCAATAGTAGCATGCATGCGGTGCAGGTTGGTTTTGAGGGGAAAAATAAACTCTATTCCGCTCATACGTGGGCTAACCCAGGCTTGTGCGGAAGCCGCGCATTTTAAGCCCGACCTGGCCCGTCCTTAGCGAAGCCTCAAGAAAAGACAGCCGGTCTGGCCCAAAAAAGTGCAGTTTTCTCTGAATCAATCATCACGCTTTTCAATGAAAAAAAAAATCACGTTTTTTGTTTTTTATCCACTTAGGCGTCTACAGAGATTGAATAAGTAAAACAAATTTTTCGTTGGGAACTTTTTTTTAAGCTAAGAAAGGTTTTCTGAGGCTTGGCCTGGCAGCAATGAGGCTCTGGAAGCCTGGGCATACCAAAAATGTGTTGAAAAAGGCCCCACATTGGAAGAGAAGTAATTAAAAATCAAACTTCTCTCACATCAAAAAATTCCTTACGTCAAGTTGATGCTTATATTGAATCGCTAACCGCTTTGGTTGCCGATTTTAGAAATGGAAAAGAAAATGCGTTTTCTCACGACTTCAGTTGCTTTTTTATAATATTTATGAGAACGTCACAACTATAAATCGACCAATCTTCGAATTTCCCCGCTTCCTAACTGTGAGCGATTGAAAAAAAAGTTGTAGGTCATAAACCCCCGAGAAAAAGTTGTGCTGAGCAATCTGAACGTGACTGACAACAAAGGCCAAGGTGTCAACATTCTGACGACATTTATCCAAGCTCCCACTTCGAATCAAGGTAAAATCAAGGCAGAAACGCCAATAAAAAATTTTTTCTGCTCAGAAATCCTCGAAAGACCCTTAAGTATCCCCTATTTCGCCCAAGGGATGCTGGACATGTGCGCCTCGGCGAAGACTATCAAGTTGACGAATCGGATATTGGTTGGTTTCCGAAAAGAGAGAAAAAAAAACTTGAGAAAAAATAGCCGTATCATTTTGGAGCGAACGCGCCCCATTGATAACTTATGATTTTTTCAATTTTTGTATTTTTTTCACAGAAAATCTATGTTAAACGGCTTCAAATTCCAGCCAGAAGGTTTTATTTTGAATAATCATGAGCTAGAATGGAAGTTAGCCGTGGAGCGCAAAATCACTTTTTTTTTTTCATTTTGAGCGGTTTCTTTGAATAACCATAAAGCTACCATCAAAATCAGCCGTCGAGCGAAAATTCCTATTTTTTTTTCTCATTTTGAGAGGTTTTTTTTCAAATAATCGAGAGCTATGACTCACATTTAGCCGTGGAGCGCAAAATCCAAACAGAAGCCTTTTTTCTCTCTTAACCCAAAAAGTATTTGGAAACATTAATTCTCCAGATCTACTACAAATACGACTCGTATCCGGTGGATTGCGTCAAGATTTTCTCGTCGGAAGGCCGAAGAATCGCTTTTCGATTGGTTCAGACCAATTTCTATCTGAACGAGGCGGATCTCGGACGTCCTGACGCGTTGAAAGTCTACAATTCGGCTTCCCTCCACCCTATGAACTTGGTCGCCGAGTTTAGGTAGGAGGGTGTCAAAAAAATCAGAAAAAAAGAACCGTTATGAAAAAAACTTGAAGAAAAATGGTTAAAAAAAATTTTTAAAAAAAAGTCGATTTTGCGAAGATTTTTGTCATTAATTGGTACAGAATAATGTTTTCGACCGAATAAAAAAAAAAATTTGGATTTTTTTCTTCACCCCATGTACTCGGTTGCCTAGTTCATTTGTGAATTTAAAAAGTTTTTTTCCAAAAGAAAAAAAATAGGATTTCGAGGAAATTAATCGGAGTATTTTTTTGCAAAACTTGAAGAAAAAAATGGTTAAAAAAATATTCTAAAAAGTCGATTTCGAGAAGTTTTTACAATGAAAGTCTCCGGAGGAACACTTTTTATGTCATTTTAGGTCATTTTTTTCGATCAATTTATCGATTTTTTTATCCGATTTTAGTGATAAAACTGATAAAAAAATGGCAAAAAAATCCACAGCTTGGATTTGTTATTAAGCCTTGATATCTGATCGAAATTCTTGGAGCCATAATTAATAAATCATAAAAATTTTTTTCAATAGAAGCTTATCTTTATCACCTCTAATTCTTATGGAAAAAAATTGCTAAGAGAAATTTTTTTGGCCGTTTTTTTCGGCAATCGATAGCTTTTTGACAGGAAAGTTTGGAAAGAAACGACAGGAAATACAAAAAAAAAAAATATGAGAAAAAAATAGGAAAAAAATTATGATTATTTTTTTCGAGAATTTATTGAATATTCAAGTTAGAAAAATCGATGAAAGAGACTATTTAAAAATTCATTTTTGGGCAATTTTTCAATTTTACAATAGTTTATTGGTTTTTCAATGGACACTAGCGGCAAAAACTTACGATTTTAGGTACTTTTCACTCTTATTTGACCGATTTGAGTGTTAAATTTTATTCGAATTGCGAATTTCAATGAAAAGCCTCGAATTCAGATCGAAAGGCTTCAATTCGCCGACGACTTCGGTTACTGGCGAAACTTTGGCCCTCCATATCCGAGCCAGCGCCGCCGACGGAATCTATGGCTTTATCGCCGAAATTTCGGCCGTCCCTAGTGTTCCCGACAATCGTGAGCTATCTTAGGCTATCATGAGCGATATGGTGTTGTTTCACAGAGAATGTGGGAGAAGTTGTGATACGCAACTCGCGGATCGATAACAACGACCGAGGCGCGATCGATTACATGAATTCCGGGGAAATGAGCCCTTCTTTGGTCATTGGTGGGTTGAAAAAAGTGAAAAAAAAACTCGTTTTGAAATGCGGAATTTAGGGAGAATTTTAATGAGAATGGTATCAAACTTTTCGAAATTAATAAGTTATGAGAAAATTTGAGAATTTAGCGAGTAATGTATGAAGGTTTGAAAAAAAGGACGATTTTTAGAAAGGCGAAGTCAAAATTTATAATTTTCATAAGTTTTACTGTGGCTCAGGAACGCCAGAGTGGTCCCTAGAGGGGCGACCTTATAGACCCTTCAAAGTTCCTCTCTAGGGACCTTTTCGCTTCCTCCTATAGGATGTAAGAATGTTTCTTAAAGTGGTCATTCTAGGTGTTTCAGCCCCTTAGAGGGAGTGTTTCCATGTAGGGACTGTTTTTTTCCGTCTACGGGCCATTCAGACGTTCCTAAGGAACCCACTGAGCAGATAGATAAGTAGTCAAGAGAGGATAGAAAATATTCAGCATTTACGTACTCTCTTCGATTTCTTATAATTATTGAAATTGGCAGAATTCCGAGGAATTTTGGCGTTTTTCGCGAAAGTTCTGTGTTATGAAGAGATATTTTACGCATTGTAAAGGCAGTCTGCTTTCTAAAAAATCATCAGAACTTCATTTTGTGTTTTTTATTCCAGAAGACTGCTCGATTTCCTTCAATGGCATCCATTTGTATGGAAATATTTCAACAGCAATGCAGGCGGTTCAGTTGAATTTGCATAACACGATGGTGAGTTTGAAAAAGAAGTTGAATCTAAAAAAATTCTCTTCTCTTTCAATAAATCTTTATTCATAAAAGGATAAAAAAATTTGAATCTTAGAAATTCAAATTTTTTTTCCAAAAATCTTACCCACGAAACTGTCTCACCTGTCTGCGCTCTCTCCCCTATGGTCGGCGAGGTCAGAGGAGCAAGAAAATAGCGTTCAAAGTTAGAGGGCGCAGAGTGTCAGACTTTTCAAGCTTTGGTGAATTGAACATTCTGATGAGACTTCTGAACCTTGTCCTTTTTGTCTCACTTGTCTGCGCTCTCTTCCCTCTCGTCGACGAGGTGAGAGGAGCGAAAAAATAGTGTTTGAAGTTAGAGGGCACAGAGAAGTCAGGCTTTTCAATTTGTGGCAGAACATACTTATGAGACTTCTGAACCTTTTCCTTTTTGCCTGACTTGTCTGCGCTCTCTTCCCTCTCATCGGCCAAGTGAGAGGAAACAAGGAACTAGCGTTTAAAGTTAGAGGGCCTAGAGAAGTCAAATTTTTCCGAGTGAGGAGATGAAAATATTATGTTGGAACTTTTGAAACTCGCCCCTTTCCTGGATTTTTCTAGAATGGATTTTCAGTTCCTCCTGTTCCGTTCCAACTCCCTGGCCCACAATCGAGGTGGCCTCTACATTTCGGCGACGTCTTCATCTCCGGTCGCACGTCTTCAAGCCCTCATCAAGAACTGTCTCTTCTCACACAACACCAACTCCACTACGTTCGCCCTTCTTGGAAATAACTATCAAGTGGTGAGGAAATTCAGGGGCTGTAAAAAGCTTTGTATGTATGAAATGAATAAACGTAAGCGCAAGTAGTTTCTGGTCGGATGCGCGTGAAAACAAAAATTTCTCATTGAGAACTTTTTAGGGTGACATAAATGTGGCTTCAGCATTGCAAATATATTTTTGATAGTTGCGTCTTTCATCTTGTGATAGAAATACCTTCATGCGCAAGTAGTTTCTGGTCGGGTGCACTGAATTAGCCTTTTTTGCAACCATCCCCATGATATGTGATTTGATAACAAGGATGAATAAGTAGCAGTTGTTTTGAATACCAGCTGCGCCCGACCTTCAGCGGCTTCTCATCGCCTCATGCTAGGAGATACAGTCACGCGCAAGTAGTTTCGGGTCGGATGCGCTGAATCAGCTTTTTTTGCAACTATCTCTATGATATGTGATTTGATAACAAGGATCAAAAAGCTCGCGGTTTGTTGCCTCAAAGCTGCACCCGACCTTTAACGGCTTCTCATCGCCTCATGCTAGAAGATGTTGTCTCACGCAAGTAGTTTCTGGTCGGATGCACTGACATAGCCTTTTTTGCAACCATCCCCATGATATGTGATTTGATAACAAGGATGAATAAGTAGCAGTTTTTTTGCATACCAGCTGCGCCCGACCTGTAGCGACTTCTCATTGACTCATGCTAGAAGATGCTGTCTCGCGCAAGTCGTTTCTGGTCGGCAGGGCTATCTAAACTATCCCAACTTGTCCAACTTTTTCTCGAATCTGATGAATTGCTTCAGGCAACGCTGTTGAACAACGTGATCAGCCTGAACTACGCCCTCTACCACGACACGATCGTCGTCCAGGACGCGGCGATGAACATGACGCGGAACGTCGTCTTCGGAAACACCGGCCTTCATACCGTCGATGTTCACGCCAACGCCAGGATGTCTTCCGATTCGACTGTCTTCTTCTTCAATCACTTTTATGATAACCATGCCCTGGGCAGCGGGTTGCAGTATGCGGTACGGGCTTGAGGAAAAATGGGAAAAAATAGCTGTGACTTTTTTGAGCTTGTGCGCTCCAAGGCTTAAATGTAGATGAAGGCGTTCATTTGGATGATTTTCTAGACACTTTATAAGCAGAGAAAATGTATAGAAAACCAAAATCCTTAGTAACATGAATATTGATTATCAATGGAGCGCAGAAGTGTTAGAGTTTCGCGGCTCTTTTTTCTCAGAAGTTATTCGAATTTTTTTTTTTTGAGCTTGTGCGCTCCAAGGCTTAAATGTAGATGAAGGCGTTCATTTGGATGATTTTCTAGACACTTTATAAGCAGAGAAAATGTATAGAAAACCAAAATCCTTAGTAACATGAATATTGATTATCAATGGAGCGCAGAAATGTTACAGTTTCGCGGCTCTTTTTTCTCAGAAGTTATTCGAATTTTTTTTTTTGAGCTTGTGCGCTCCAAGGCTTAAATGTAGATGAAGGCGTTCATTTGGATGATTTTTCTAGACACTTTATAAGCAGAGAAAAATGTATAGAAAACCAAAAATCCTTAGTAACATGAATATTGATTATCAATGGAGCGCAGAAATGTTACAGTTTCGCGGCTCTTTTTTCTCAGAAGTTATTCGAATTTTTTTTTTTGAGCTTGTGCGCTCCAAGGCTTAAATGTAGATGAAGGCGTTCATTTGGATGATTTTCTAGACACTTTATAAGCAGAGAAAATGTATAGAAAACCAAAATCCTTAGTAACATGAATATTGATTATCAATGGAGCGCAGAAATGTTACAGTTTCGCGGCTCTTTTTTCTCAGCAGTTCTTTGAATTATTTTTCGATTTTGATCCTTTCAGGAACGATATGGTTACCTGCCAGTTCATGAGCGGGATGAGTCACGGGACAGGCCAAGAAGGAAACGACAGGTAAAAGATTTTTATTCAGAAACTTTTGAGAAAGGTTAGAAGATACGCTTAATTAAGCATCTAGTACCCTTAAGGGATCACTCAGAGGGGAGAGGTATCATTTAGGGATCACTTGAGAAGACAGGGAGTTTGAAGAGCATAAAATTGGTTATTTATTATCTATAGAAGGTAATTTCAAGTTTAACCAGAAAGGAATTTGAACAAACTTTGACATTACTGACTGAAACTCCCTGAGCATCTCAAAAAAATCAATCAATTTAAGGTTGAATTATCATGAGTTATAGTTCATTTTTTTCAAAGAAGAATGTGTAAGTCATGTTCAGAGACTTAATTTTAACACGAATGACTTGAAAAGGAGCTTCTGGAGGACATCCAGCTCTTCTGGAAAAGCAGATTTAACTTTTGGTTTGAAGCTATCGGAAGCTCCGTTCTTTCTTTTATGCACGAAAATTTGAAAAACGTTCATTTTTATTTTCGAAAAACAATTGATTTACAACTTATTTTACATATTTTCTCTCATCCGCTGCACCGTCCGCAAGTCAGGGGGCACTGCTGGGTCATCAGGTCGAAGTAGATCGAATTGTTGCAAAGATTGGCCCTGGCTGGACAGTCAGATCTTCCAGTGTTGGGGTTGATCCGATCGACGCAGGTTCCACTGGAAACAGTGGAGCCACTGATCGTCGACGTCAGGAAAGTGCTTGAAGATCGGACAGTGCTGGATCCGCATCTCCCGCAGGTCCTTGGACACTGCTGAGTCATGAGGTTGAAGTAGACCGAGTTGTTGCAAAGGGCGGCCCTCGCCGGGCAGTCCGACACCCCCGTTGACGGGTTGACCCGGTCCACGCAGGTCGTGCTGCTTCTGGTTGTCGAGATCGAGGAGCACCTTTGGGGTTCAACTTTAGTTGGTTCAATAAAATGATCATTTTTTGGGAAAGTTTGGAAAATTGCTACACCAAATGAAGATCCTGAAGTCCTATTTTTTGAAGAATAATTCAAAATTTGCTTAAGAAACTTCTCCAAATTAGGAAATAGTCTTAACTTTTTAGTCTTATGGTAACTTTAAGGAGTCATAACTTAGGTTGAAGGTATCCTAAATTGAAGTGTTTGGTTCGAAATAATTCAGAATGATGCGCTTGATTTTTATAGAACTCCAATTTTCACTGAAAACCGTGGGAAAAATCTCAAATTTGAGAAAAACCTAAACTTTTCGGTCCTTCGATAACTTCAAAAAATCATAACTTAAGTTTAAGGTATCCTAAATTTAAGTGTTTCGTTCGAAATAATTTAGAATGATGTTTTTGATTTTACTAGAGCCTTTGCCTCCACTGAAAACCTTGGGAAAAGTCTCACATTTTCTGTAAACCTTAACTTTTCGGTCTTGAAGTTGCTACAAAAAAATCAAAAATTTATAGATTTCTTAAATTTAAGTATTTGGTACCAAATGTTTCAAAATAAAGCTCTTGAATTTTCAGAATCATTTTTTTAGGACCCCAGCCTCTTAAGAAAAATCATAACTTTTCGGTCTTGAGATAGCTACAAAAAATCATAACTTAATCTGTAGGTCTTCTAAATTTGAGTTTTGGTACGAAATCATTCAGAAAGATGCGCTTGATTTTTAATTTGAAGAAAATCGTAGAAATGGGCGATTTTCGGGGCTCTGAGCCCTTTTTTCTTGAAAAGTAGGCAGCTTGGGACTTCTAGGACCTTCCTTTCATACATCTTGTAGATTGGGACTTCTAGAGTCTTTATTTGATACGTCCGAAGCAAAATTATAGAAAGCTCAGAAAGCTTTCGACTGAAATCTAGAAAGACCTTCTAAGAGCCTCTTATAAGAGAAGCCAGAAGAAAATGTGAGAATCAAGAAGAAAACTTTAAAAGTTCGGAAAAAGAGACCTTCCACAGGTCCTTGGACATTGCTGAGTCATCAGGCTGAAGTAGAGCGAGTTATTGCAAAGATTGGCCCTGGCCGGGCAGTCCGACACTCCGGTTGACGGGTTGACCCGATCCACGCACTGGGCGGCAACCGAGGCGATCAGAGCACTGGCTAGGAAAATTTGAAGCTGGAACATTTTTTTCGAAGTTATTCCGGATTGCATTTCGAGTCTTTTATAAGACTTTTAGACGGACAGTTGAATAAATTCGAAACATTTTGGGCCATTGTTTTGGAAGTGTTTTTTTGAAGAGCACGTGACGTCGCGTACAATGGCATTTGTTTGCTCGGAAATTAATATTTGCCCAAGTTAATTGAGACAAATGATGCGTGTACTTGTTTGGCACTTGGAGACTTCAGAGGAATTTTTTGGAAATCTGTAATTTTTCAGTTTTTTCAAATTTTTTTCGGAAAATTTTTCCATTTTATAATCTTCTGAGAGTTTTTTTTAAAGATTTTTTGAAAAAGTCAGTGAGAGGATTTCTGAAGTTTTAGATATTGGGTGAATTTGGAAAATTAAATGTTTGGTTTGAAGCTTTCTTTTTATGTTGTTATGCTTTCATTTTGATTATATAAGTTTTTTTAAGATTTTTCTAATTTTTTTGAAGATATTTTCTTTTGGGATTTTTTTGAAAAAAATTAGTGGAAAAAAGCGCTGAAAATTTGGATTTTGGGTAATTTTAAAAAGTTAAATTTTTCAATTTTTTTGGTTTTCAAATTGTGTTTTAATGCTTTTGTATTCATTATAGGCACTTTCGAAAACTTTTTTTTGAGATTATTTGAAAAATGAGTGAGAAAATAGTAAAAGAAGCTCTGAAAATTTGGATTTTGGGTAATTTTGGAAAGCTGAATTTTCAATTTTTGGTTTTCCTATGGTGTTTCAATGCTTTTTGTATCCCTTTATAGGCTCTTTTCGGGAATTTTTTTTGCGATTTTTTTGAAAAAAATCAGTGAGAAAAATAGAGGAAAAAAAGTTCTGCAAAAATTGGGCTTTGGGTAATTTTTGGAAGAGTAAATTTTTAAATTTTTGGTTTTTCATTTTATGTTGTTATGCTTCTATTTTTCATTTTATAAGCTTCTATGATTTTTTTGGGATTTCTTGAAAAAAATCAGTGGAAAAGTAGGGAAAGAAGCTTTGAAAACTTAGATTTTTGGGGATTTTGGAAAGTTTAGACAATTGAAGCTTTCATTTTTGTTGTGAAATTTTTATTCCGAAACTCCATGATTTCCCCGAAATGGTTTAGAAAAAGGTACACATGTTTCCTAGATAATTTTCAATTAAAAAAACGGCTTTTATCACCTTTTTTTTCAAGTTACAATAACGCATGAACTTCAAAAACTGTTAAAAATCTTATTTTCTAATTGTCCAGTCACTTTTAAAATTTTCAGGTTCTAAACCAACAAGGCGTTAGTTTTGACTGGTGGACCCACGTGGACAACGAAACGACGAGATACCGATCGACTATTATCGGTAAAATATGTTTTGACCGCATTTGGAATGGCTCAAGCTTTTTTATGCCACCAAGCGCAACTCGTTTTGGGTCGGTTGCAGCTTCAGTCATCCAAAATGCATTTTGAATGGCTCAAGCTTATCTGATGCAACCAAGCGAAAGTCGTTTCGAGTCGGTTGCAGCTTCAGTCATTCCGAATGCGGTCAAAGTTGAAGAAAACCAATGAAAACTTGGTTAATTTTCAGCCGGAAGTCTACAAGAAATTTTCCGCTACAACACTTTCAACGACCCTTTGAACGACTATGAAATTACGACTGCACGGCAAACCGAGTGGGATTACTGTAGGATTTATTTGTAGGTTACGGTATCGAGTTCAGGTACGATATGGGAACGATCGATGCCAAGTACAACTATTGGGGATATCCCGGAACGGCCGGCGTGGCTTCGGGAAAAATCAGGGACCATGAGGATTATCCTTACCTGGTCAAGGTAAGGACTTGGGATTTTTGGTGGACGTGAAAAAATCGGGAGTTCTATAGTTTAGTCAAATGTGAACAGGAGCTTGAGTTGTCCTTTTTTGATTTATTCGAGATTTTCTTGGACCTTTTGCTATAGGCTTGAGCCATCGAAAAACGGGTCCTGACACGAAAATGCACGAGACAGGCCACGCCCCTTTAGCGTCCCAAGCTATAGATCCATCCTTTCAGGTCGACTACCATCCAGTCCTGGAATCGAACACCTCCCTGGTTGAAGGCGACTGTCCGGCTGGCTGGTTCCAAGCCGGTCACCAAGAGTTCAAGTCCTGCTTCCTGTTCGTCGCCTCCACCGTCACCTACGGAAGAGCCGTCGAATACTGTGAAGAACTCGACGCCTTCGTTCCCTACATGAGAGCCGATGACGTCCGACAAAAAGAGCTGGCCAGGAGGATCGACCAGATGAGCGTCCAATATGTCACGGACGCCGAACGACTTGCCGCCTATGGGGTTGGTGTTGATCTTCTGGGAATGAGTTGAAGTCAGTAGAAATAAGGGAAATCAGGGTATTTCATGTCAAAAAAAACTTGCCGCCTATGGGGTTGGTGTTGATCTTCTGGGTTGAATTTGAAGCTGCAATGTGCTATATTAGATTAGCCCTGTAGGAATAAGCGGCATTTAGAGTAATTAATGTCAAAAAGAAAAACGACTCGCTGCCCTTGGGGTTGGTGTTGATCTTCTGGGAATGAGTTGAATTTGAAGCTAAAATGAGCTATAAAAAATGGCCCGGTATTAATAGACGCATTTCATGTCATTTCAAAACAAAAAAAAACTCGCCGCTCATGGGGTTAGAGATGATCTTCTGGGATTAAATTGAACTCAAAGTGAAAATTTATTAGATATGATGATTTGGTAGAAATAAGAGGTGTGTTCTCGGTATTCTATGTAAAAAAAAAAGATGAACTTGCTGCCAAAGATGTTGGAGATGATCTTCTAGGACTACATTAAAATGGGAGCCAGATGAGGAATGAGTTGAACTTGAAGCCAAAATGTGCTAAAAAACTTGTAGAAGTGAGGATTGAATACTCTCTGAATTTTTGTTAATTTTAAGATTGATCATTTGATTTTTGAAATCCAGGTTTGATAGTTTCAGGACTAAAAAAGGCTCTAGAACGTGACAAGAAGACAAATAGAGAAGTGTGAATCTGTGTAAAATAAACAAAAATAGTTTCATGGTACCTTTTTGGAATGAATCTTTGAAACCATGATTTTGAAACAAAAAAATAGAATCAGCAGAAGGTTTTTCCAAGAGGTTTTTTTCAAATGAATATTGAAAAAAATCCTTTTTTTAAAGTTTCATCAACCATTTTCGATTTTTTTGATCTTCGAATTTTTGACATCTCTGCTTTTTTTGCCTTTATTGATCTTTAAATATGTTATCAAATTTTTTTTCTTGATTTTAAGGTTATTTTAAGGTCGACAACGATATTCACGTTTGGATTTCCTCGGTGACGGTTCCAGTGACGCAATGCGCCTGGCTTAGCGCCCGTTCGGGCAGGATCGGGTCCGTCAATTGCAACACGTTGATCCCGTTCGTCTGTGAGAAAGGTGCATTATTTGGGAACTCCAGAGTGGTCCCTATAGGGGCGACCTTAGAGGCCTTTGGAGGGTCCCCTCTAGGTTTTTAAACGTCCCCTTAACCTTTAGCGACTGATGGGTCAGAGCCTAAACCCCTTTAGGAATCACTTTATCAACCCCTATAGGGACCCCTAGCGCTTGAAAAAGTGGTCCTCATAGGGGTTTCAATTTGTAGCCCTATAGGGGACATGCTAGTCGAAACGTTTTTTAATAAAAATTGAAAGACCCCTATAGGGACCACTTAAGCTTGAGGGGCTAAGGGATCAGACCCTGAACCTCTATAGAAACCCCTAACGCTTGAAAAAGTGGTCCCTATAGGGTTTCAGTTAGTAGCCCCTATAGGGGCCGTTTAACCTTTAGGGGCTAAGGGGTCAGACCCTGAACCTCTATAGGGACCACTTTTTCGGCCCCCTATAGGGACTGTTTATCCCCCCAAGCCCTATAGGGGACCCTAATGCTTCAAAAGTGGTCCCTATAGGCGTTTCAGTTAGTAACCTTATAGGGGGCATGCTAGTCGGATTGTTTTTTGAATAAAATTGAAAGACCCCTATAGAGACCACTTGAGCTTCAGGGGCTAAGAGGTCAGACCCTGAACCCCTATAGGGACTTCTTTTTCGGTCCCCTCTGAGCTGTTTATTCCCCCCTAACCCCTATAGGGATCGCTTAGTGATTCCACAAACGTCTATTGCAGGAAATTATTTGACGGATTTTTTTCCAGGCACCCAGCCATACGATGAACCCATCATGTGGCGGACGGGAATCGTGATAGCCCTGGTGATTGTGGCGATTTTGATCGGATTGCTGTTCCTCTTGGCGGTTTGCTGGTGGCTCAAGTCGAGCAAGCGGAGGACCGAACTGGCTGAAAGGAAAAGCATCATTCGGGCCAGTATGAAGCTCCAGAAGTGAGTTTTCTCCCACAGAATCGAACCTGAGAATTTTGGAAAGATCTCATAGGGTTTTCCTGCTTTAGGGATCGAAATTTAAGTGAACCCTGTTCGAAAGGTTATCAGGTAGAGTCAAAAATTGGGTCGAACAAAATGCCAGAGTGGTCCCTTGAGGGGCAACCTAAGTGGCCTTTAAAGGCTCCCCTCAAGGGACCACTGCACATTTTCCTAGAGGGGCACTAAAGCTTACAAAAACTGATGAACCCCCCTTAACCTATAGCGACTTATGGGTCAGATCCTAAACCCCTTTAGGGACCACTTTACCTTCCCCTAGAGGGGTCCCTATAAGGTTCTGTTGTTTTAGAGACCCCTATAGGAGTCGAAATTCCAGTGGCCCCTATACATTTTTTGAAAGGTTATCAGGTAGAGTCAAAAATTGGGTAGAACAAAATGCCAGAGTGGTCCCTTGAGGGGCAACTTTAGAGGCAATAGAAGCCCTTTAGGGACCACTTTACCTTTCCCTATAGGGGCACTAGAGCTGACAAAAACTAATGAACCCCCCTTAACCTATAGCGACTTATGGGTCAGAACATGAACCCCTCTAGGGACCACTTTAATTTGACCCATATAGGAAGCACCTTTTTGAACCCTTGGGGGCTTTAACCCCTAAAGGGACCATTATAAAAATTATGGTTACAAGAAAGATGCTCCAAAACTACACAGCAAAATGGAAATTCATCCGTTTCCTACTCCAGAAAAGCGGCGGAGCACGACCGACGTCGTCCAACTCCCTCGAATACCCACGAATCAGCCCACGCCAGCCTGGACCAGACGATGATCAGCGCCTACGGACCCGTGGAAGCCCTGCCGATGAAGAAACACTTCGGGAAGGACTACCGATCGCCCACCGAGACCCTCCGAACCGACTTCTCTGATACCTCCGATCATACTTATACCTACACGGAGGTCACGCCCAAGGGCTCCGACAGCTACTACACGGCCAGGAATGCTCAGAGGTATCATTTTAGGGGGCTAGGGGTTTATTGAGCATTGAAATCTTTGAATGGGTCTTACCGCGGAAAATTTCAATATTTGTCAAAGCTAAGAAGTCTTCCATGGCCAGAAGTATCATTAAGACACAATAGCTTTTGGGAGTCTTTAAAGGCGCAGAAAGCGAAAAATTGTAGTTTCGTGTATTTCGGCGTAGCTTAGAAGTCTTACATGAGCAAAAGTAAAACTAAGACGCAATATCTTCTAGGAGTATTTAAAGGCGCAGGAGTGAGCTCTGAAATGGGTCCTGCCGCGAAAACATATAGTTTTGGGCTTTTTCACGTAGTTTAGAGGTTTTTCATGACCAAAGGTAACATTAAGACAAAATAGGCTTTAGGAGCATTTAAAGGCGCAGAAGTTAGCTTTGAAGGGGTCCTGCCACGAAAACTTGTAGTTTTTGGTATTTTGGCGAAGCGCAGAGGTCTTGCATGAACAAAGGTGACACCAAGACGCAGCGAAAGACTCAAGAATTTTTCAAAGGCGCAGAAAGGAGCTCTGAAATGGGTCCTGCCGCGAAAACTTAATATTCCAGTTTTTTACGGAGCTTAAAAGTCTTGAATGACCAAAATGAACACTAAGACTTTGTGTGAGATACGAGGACCTTCTTCGGTTTTCAAAGGCGCAGAAGGAAGCTTGGAAATGGGTCCTGCCACAAAAACTTTTTTTTTTGTTTTTCAGTGCAGCTCAGAAGTCTTGGATGACCGAAAATATTCCTGAAAGACAGTTTTGTGAGAAAATACCGAGAAATGCAACCTAGAGACGGTCTACAGTCTAATTTAGAAGTACGGTTACCGTAATCCGATCAAATTCTGCAATTTCGCTTGCTCCTTTAGGAATCACTCATGAAGCTCTTGATATGAACTGTAGTTCGAAAAAATCGAATAAAAATTCATTAAGGCACGTCTCCACGAAGCCCAATCCATATTCGGAAATATCGACGAGCGCCGCGGAATCTGACGTCAAATTACGTCATAAGTCTCGTCTGGACACCTCCCAGTCGACTTCTGAAGCGTCGTGCTCGACGTGTCCTTCTGAATCGGGTCAGGATTAAGTTTGGAAGTAGAAGTGACGTCATAAATTGTTTGAATGACGTCATCTTGTCGAAGACGCTTCTAGAACTATTTCAAAAAAGGTGACGTCGCTCAAAATATCAACGCTTTGAAAGTTATGAATCTTTTGAATGACGTCATTTTGGACCCGATTTCGATAAGAATGACGTCACTTTAGACCTGATTTCGATGAGAATGTCGTCACTCTAAACCAGATTTCTATGAGAATGACGTCACTTCAGAGCAGATTTCGATGAGAATGACGTCATAGCGTTAAAATGACGTCACTTTAAACCTGGTTTCGATAAGAATGACGTCACTTTAGACCTGATTTCGAAAAGAATGACGTCACTCTAAACCAGATTTCTATTAGAATGACGTCACTTCAGACCAGATTTCGATGAGAATGACGTCATAGCGTTAAAATGACGTCACTTTAGACATGGTTTCGATAAGAATGACGTCACTTTAGACCTGATTTCGATAAGAATGACGTCACTATAGACCAAATTTCGATGAGAATGACGTCACTTTAGAACTTATTTCGATAATAATGACGTCATTTTAGACCAGATTTCCATGAGAATGACGTCACTTCAGACCTGATTTCGATGATAATGACGTCATAATGTTGGAATGACGTCACTTTAGAACTTATTTCGATAATAATGACGTCATTTTAGACCAGATTTCCATGATAATGACGTCATTTTAGACCATATTTGGATGATAATGAAGTTATAGTGTTAGAATGACGTGATTTAAACCAGAATGACGTCATTTTGAACCAAATTTAAACAGAAATGACGTCATATAAGCTTAAAAACACGTCATTTTGGTAGTAGCAAGATCACGAATGTAATAAACAGAATGAGAGAAGTTTTAAATTCATCTGAAACAGGAAAATTTTGCAGAAAGGACCTCGACGGGAACCGACTTCTCCTCGTGTACCGAGCAATCGACGGCGTCTGAAAGCACGGTCCAGAACACCAGGCTAAGTCGTCCAGCTCCACCGAGACTGTCGGACTCCCGAGGAACCTTTCAACCCCTGCCGACGGAGCCGATCCCGACTGTCCGTCGAGTTCCAGCTCCCAGAACTCAAGTTCCGGGTCATGGCGCTGCTTATAACCCATCCCTTGGTGCTGCTCCAAGATCTCAACCCCCTGGCTCAGCTCCTCCAGCTCCTCCGACAAGATCTCTTGTCGAGCTGTTCCCACCTGGCGCCCAGCCAAGGCAAAGGACGCCTTCTGGACGTCGGTACGTCGTGGAGACTTCCATGTGATACTGTAGTTCTTCCCTACCGAATTTTGTCAAGGTTTTTGTTTTTTTTTCTCATCAAATAGTACGTTTCCTGTGAATTTTGTTAGTTTACTGTAACAGTTTACTTTTCCGGCTTCTTACTGTAGGTTGTCGCTTGGTTACTGTAAGATAATTTTTTCGAGTCTTCTTGTTTTTTTAGTGCCATTTTTACTCTTTCAGTGCTTCTTCATTTTTTTTCGTGCCATACCGTAATATTGTTGTAAAATTACGGTATCTTCATATTCACAGTATCAACCATTTTCTAGGGTTACTGTAAGATCTCTACCTTCTTTCTCGATTTTCTCAACTTTTGAACTTTCTGCATTGGGTTACTGTAGCCTTTTTTTACAGTATTCAAGAGGATTACTGTAGCTTTTTTCAAAATATTGGAGTAGGTTACTGTAGCTTTTCTATTTTTACAAGTTGCTGTAATTTTTTGATTTTCTGGGTTACTGTAACCTATCAATTTTTCTTGATTTAAACGGGTTACTGTAGCCTTAATTTCACTGTGTCATCATTGTTTTTCTTTCACCCATGACACACTTTTTGAACCTAACTATTTTTCGAGGAAAAAAATTTCCCATTTCGTGCGGCTCATTTTGTCTCAAAGTGAGGCCAAAAAAACGAAGCCAATTTGCCCCCAACGGAACTCATTTCCGAACGCTTTTTGTAGCTTTTTCTGCACATTTTTTTCCCCTTGTTTTTCGCTTTTCAAAAGCCGGTGTCTAGCAGAATTTTGTATTCACCCCCCGTTTTCGAGAACAACAATCGACCTTTTATTTTTGTACTTTTTTTACTTTTTTTCGTTCGGCTACGTGTAATTTTTTTCTCTTTTTTCTTGGGAACCACGTGTATTTTTTTTGAAAAAAATGAAGCTTCTATTTTTTTCACTTGATCAAGTTGCTTCTGTAGAAAGCTTGTCTGATTTCAAAGATTTATTTGTATTTTTTTAATTTAAAAATTGAAGTGTTTTTTTAAAAAAAGAAAAAAAGCGGCTCAAAATGGGCTTTAAAAAGGTCGCGTTTGGAATGGATCGAGAAAAAGTATGTATATTTAAAAGAAAATGACAATTTTATATTGAAATTCCATCAAAAATTGCCAAAAAAATTGTGAATTTTTTTCAAAACCCCAACTTTTTTTATCGATAGAGCGCAGAATCTGAATCGATCTGAAGTTGGAAATTTTAATTAAAACCAATTTCGAAAGCGCACAGTTTGCTTCAAAAAACGGAAGAGAAGCCCTATTTCAACCTTTTTTAATTGATTTTTCAAGCTTATCGTGATTATTTTTTTTCGAATTAAAAATTTAGAAATTCTATTTTGAAAAAAATCAACGCTTAATCATCTTCAATAGAGACAGAAACGAAAATTATTTTTTTTTTGAACGAAAGTAGTATGACATCCATACTTCTTTCTGACAGTTATAACGAAATTTTTGAAAAAAACTAGAATTTTTTTCCCAAAAAGCTCAAAGCTCTAAATGCTTCATTGTGAAATTTTTTTGCAAAGACCTTTCTTGATTCGATTTTTTGGTTTGGTTAACATTACAAGAAATTTTTCCAAAAAGGAAATCGGAAAAAATGAATTTTATCTTCTCTTCTCGTTTTGGTCGGGGAAACCTTTCGAAAAGATTTTTTTTTTTTGGATATTTTGGATACCAAACCATTTTGCTAGCAAGTTATCAAGGTCTAGAGGGAATTTAGAAAAAAAAATAGATTTTTCTGTTTTTCTGTAAATCAGCTGGTCTTTGCTTTTCGAGATTTTCCCCAAGAGGTTCCAACTTTTTTTGATTTTTTTCTCAAAGTCAGTTTTCTAACAACTTTTTTCTTCAAAACGATTCCTATTTGGAATAAACTCACATCCAAGTATCAGTTCACCCTTCCACCCAAATCTTTGAAAAAATTATTGGTCGTCTTACCTCGCAACGAATTTTTTACCTCTATTCCTTCGAGACTTAACTGATTTCAAATTCTCACTCCATGTTTTTTTTTCTTACATTCAAATTGTAGATCAAAGTGAACTCGTTGGGGTTCACACTGATCTGTGAATAAATTATTATTATTTTCTGCTTATTCCTATTTAAAAATTAAGTTCGATGGAATTTGAGAAGTATTCCTCTGATTTCCTTTTTCCTTTTCGTGACCTCTTCTTTCTTCCTTTTTCAAATTCACTTGCGGGGAAATAAGTAAAATAAGCTTTTTTTCGGCTAATTTTTTTGATTTTTGGGCAAAATTAGATAATTCGTATCAGAAAAAAAGGATAATAATAAAAAGAAGAATGTTTTTTTCTGCTTTTTTTCTGTTCTTTTCTCATTTTTTTTCCTTCTTTTTTTCTGGCCTTTCGATTGGAATTTTATAAAAAAATAAGTACTTTTTCCGGCTAACTTAGGGACCGCAAGCCATTTCTTCAGAACGATTCAAAAAAATATGTTTCTCACATTGTTCGATAGAGGAGACTGTCCATTTTCATAATCCGTTCAGTTTTTGAAAAAAGCTCCACTAAGAAAAAAGTTATGGCGAAAAAACGAGCGCGCTCGGCGTTCAACTGGAGGCGAAATCTCACGGTTTACCCGCTGCCGCACGCTTTCTTTTTAAATGTTTTTGCGCGTTTCTGGACCGTTTTTAAATCGGTTTTCTGCTCTGAGAGGCTGTCCGAACTGAGCTTCATGTTTTGGTATGAATCTTTTGTACAATCCTCATAAGAATTTTCGATAAAATATCAAAAAACTACCTAGAAAAAAAGGTCAAAGGGATTTTTTTCAGCTTATTTTTTTCTTTTTTTCTACTCAGAAAAAAATTATTATCATTCGATTTGGAAATAAGAAAAAAATAAAAAAATAACGTTATATCGAAATAAAACAGGAAAAAAAGTGCAATTTGACTCCGAAAAAAACGGCTCCTGCGACATTTAAAATGGCGCATCGGTGTGTTTGACGCAAACACTGCTACGGACACTTGCACGAAATCTTCCGAAATTTCAAAAAAATTGCCATTTTTTTCGAGGTTTTCAAAGCCGTTATTTTTTTCGCGTCGATCGATTTTTTTTCATAATTTTTTTCATTGATAGAGTTTTTGAACGCTTAATAACATAATCAAAAAAATATAGACGCGATCCTATTCTCTCATGCGTCAACGAGGCAGGCGAAAAAAAGGAGGTTTTGGTAAAACTCAAATATAATTTGATTCGCTGTCCCAATAATTATTTTTCATTTTTGAATTTTTTTATTTCTTTGGACACACTGTTAGTTTTTTTAAATCAAATAAAAAGTATACCATGTCGCTGAAATTTTTTTCCCATTTCAGCTTCAAAGTTTGGTGTCACTTTACAAGCGTTTAATATTTTTTTCGCGTCGGTAGATTTTTTTCATTTTCACTCAAAAAAATAAAGAAAGTGTTAATGTATAACATACTCAAAAATTTAGAAGCGTTCCTCACTTGGTTTTCTGAAACGCGACGATTTTTGTGAAACTTGTCAGTTTTTTTCGTGTTAAATCTTACTTTTTTTCGCTTAATTTTTGAAAAAAATACATAGTTTTAAAAAAATATTCAGTCTTGTAGCGCGTTGTCGATTACATAGATTAACAGAAACAGTTCATTTTTAAAGTGGGACTTTAGCTAGTATAAACGCCTCAAAACCGTTTTTGCAACAAAAAAATCGTCATTTTGGTGGCGTGAAGGGGCGGGGCTTTGCGCCCCCTAGGCTAACTACCAACAATAGAGAGATTTCTATTATATTGGATTTAAAAAAATAATAATATAACAATCGAAAAAAATTTTTTTCTTAATTTTTTTCATTTTTGGCCTTGTGGTATTTTTTTCTACTCATCTTCATTAATTTTTTTGATAAAAGGCCAAATTTCTTGAAATAATATAATGATAAGAAGAATATCTCTTGTTCTCTCTCTCTCTCTCTCTCTTGTCGCGACCTCTCCCCGCCCCCCTTTTTCTGGCCTCGCTTCAGTATCCCCCGTCCTTCCGTCCGTCCGTCCGTCAAAATCCCCAAAGACCACTTCCTAAAACCCGCTGAATCTCGTGTTTCTTTTCGTTTTCAGCATCCACATATACACGCCCCAGTTTTCAACGCCCCAGATCCGATTGCCTTTTTTGTCTTCCCGCAAACAACAATTTGTTCTGAATTTTTGATTTTTCTTCACAAAATTTTGGGTCGTTTCGGTTCAAAATCACTTTTTTGTCCTTTTTGAGATCTGAAACAAACTGAATCTTTGATTTTTCTCACAAAATTTGGAATTTTTCGCTTAAAAATCACTTTTTTGCCCTTTTTTGAGATCTAAGACGAACTGAATTTTTGATTTTTCTTCACAAAATTTTGGGTCGTTTCGGTTCAAAATCACTTTTTTAAGTTCTGAGAGGAACTGAATCTTTGATTTTTCACGAAAATTCGGAATTTTTCGCTTCAAAAATCACTTTTTTGCCCTTTTTTCAAGATCCTAGACGAATTGAATTTTTGATCTTTTCTCCCAAAGTTTTCGATTTTTAGACCAAACAGCCATTTTTCAAGATTGTGAAACCTTTTTTCTTGATTTTGTCTCAGCGAAATCGTTACGAAATTCGAAAACTTAGACAGGGTTTGAAATGTATTTTTTGACATTCCGTCTTCCACAACAATTTATTCTGAATTTTTGATTTTTCTTCACGAAAATTTGCGGATTTTCGGTTTAAAAATCACTTTTTTTGCATGTTACATAGACTATGTTGGGAAGGGTGGAAAAAAGCTCTATAGAAATGTTCCTTTTTGCGGCTTTTTTGCTGCCCTTTTGCTGCCTTTCTGCGACGTTTTTGCAGCCTTTTATGAGCCTTTCCTTTTTAGCGGCCATTATCCACCATTCCAACTATGCCCGAGTTTTCGAATTTTCGTATGTTTGACCAGTTTTTGTGAGCTTGATGAAATCCTTATCGAGAAGGTAATCACTTAGCATTTTCGATTGCTTCAGTAAAATTCTTTAGCGTTTTTCTTAATTAAAAGT